AAACAAATATTATTAAAGAAAATATATAAAGCCTATTTAGTTATTTTATTATAATATGGGATATATATTATTGACAAAGCAACACTACTAATCGAACTCCGCTCAGAATCGTTTTCCGTTACCAATGGTTAATCGTTGCGTACAGGTATACATTAAATTTTACCTCAACCACCCCAACTTCTCACCTACAACAATGCCCCACCCACGTGCAAAGTATATCCGTCTTTTTTAAATATCTAAATGGTTACAAGTTGTTTTTCTAAAAAATTGATTAAGGGCAAAGATCTCTAATATTTGAATCAACAATGTTTTACAAATTTCATTATTAAACATTGAAAGAAGTGTACCTACATGGCTACATACATATCGATTATATTATATTCCCAGTTTCCATCATTTTAATAAAATAGATTCTTCGGAAAAAATATACCAAAAACTGGTCCACTTCGCTCCGTGCTACGGTTATTAACAAAATTACTTGTGCAAAAATACTAAATATGTATTCTACCAGAAATTATGTACAAATATATAGACATCTAAATTTAAAAAAATTAATTTAATATAGGTACTTAATGATACAATAATTAATAGATATTATTTATATTGTTTTTATACTAAAATATTACAACTAAATTTAAGAAAGGGTTTTGAGAGTGTGGCACGTAGCCCCATTTAATCTATGGATATACATAATTTCAGTACCCTCAAAAATTATGCTCCAATTATGCTTCCAGTAGAGTAAAAAAAAAGACAAACATACTTCGAACGTGAGTGGGCCACTGTTGTAGGTGAGAAGTTGGGAAGGTAGAGGGGAAATTGAATGTATATCTGTATGCAATGATTAATCATTATTAACGAAAAACAATTCTGAATGGAATTCGGCTATAGTGTAGCTTTGTCAACAATATATACTGGTCATATTATGGTAAAATTACATATGCATTGTAAATTTTCTTTAATGATACTTGATTTATATTTTTGATTTGTATTTTCCAGGTTTTTCTCATTTGATATGAACATAACTAGAAAAATAAAAAAACAACCTCCTTCAAATACCACTTCAATCAGATCTCCTTTTAGAAAAAGTTCTATTATTGTAAATTAGAGCAAAATTACTGATAGAAAAGTTATCCACAGAAAAAAATAAAATAAACATCATTGTAAAACCAATGCATTCCTCACTCCACTCAGATACTTAAAACATTTTATTTATAGTAAGTTGCTATCTATATCTAAATGCAAGTATCGGAAAGAGCAGCCCAGATGTGGAAGAAAATAGTGATGACCAATGTTCACACAATTTGAATATAGCGGACTCCTGCTTCTCAAAAAATTATTTATTTACACATGGAAATCGTACAAATTACTATATTGTACTAAATTGTCCTTATTGTTACACAGTTACATAATATAATTGAACATGCAAATTGAATGTACAAATACTACGTTTAAATTAAAATGTCAGATTATAGCAAGACATTATTTTATTTTTAAAACTCTTTATTTACAGTTAATAAAGTAGGTACATAACATATTTTATTAAATATGTTAGTTAATAATTGGCAATATAATACAGTACCTAATTAAGTTTCTATATTAAGTATTCAAATATTAATTATGCAACTGTATTAACGTTTGTTTTAATTTTAATTAGAAAATTCAAAGAAGCGAGAGGATAATAATTTAATAACTATTGCTTGATAATATTGTAATAACCTTTGGGGTTTTGTCTTTAATAATCCAATTCATATTCAAGTAAGTCCAATGAATAAGCAACAAACCATTTTAAAATTCAAATACCAAACTTTCGAATGAATGAGCATGTGCATTCAAGATTAAAATTGATCACAATAGTAGATTATTATTCCTAACCTAATTTAGTCTTTAATAATAGCAATGTCATTCATTTAAACATAAACAAAGATAATGAGTGAATTATATTCAATAATCGAATTACACATATAATACCTGTAATGAAATGAAAACGTTCATTTTGTGTAAACTAGACACGAACGGGTTAAATTTTCAGAAATTAATTTAAACATGAACTAGGTTCTTATCTTTTATGAACATGAACATTTTTGGCTCATTTGTTGACAGGTTTTCCATCATAAACCATAGTTATGTTTTTTATTATTTTATTTACATGAGAGAGATGAAAACTCAAATTTCATACATTAAATATTTTTTAACTAGGTATAAAAAAACTGTTTTTGTATAGGTATTTTCATTAATTTGTATGCAGCTCGTAATATTTTTTTTCTTCTTCTTCTTCTTCTTCTTCATATGGCACTTAATACTCTTAAAGAGATTTTGCCACCAACATTACCTTCTTCCATTTCTCTTGATCCTGAACTAATTCTCACTTTTCCTAAACTCCCATTCTATCAAGGTCTTCTATCACTACATCCAACCATATTTTTCTGGGCCACCCTCGAAGTCTTTTTTCCATTGCCTTCCACTCCAGGTCTACTTATATCATCCTTATTTTTCCGCATCATGTTACCCAGCTATTACATCACTTATCCTCTTATGAAACTTATTATTTAGTATATTTACTGTTCAGTGTTAAATATGTTTACTATGCTTGCTCAAAATTCACATGTAATTAGTAGTTACCTATTTTCAATTTTTGTTATTGACAATACTCACTATGTTAAATAATAAAAACTATGTTTTTAAAACTGTTCTGTTGGAACAAATATTTCTGATTTCATTACTTATTAGCCGTTGCCTATTATTATTTGTTGTAATCGTATTATGGTTAAAAGTTGGTTACCTAGTGGTGATTTAATCTGAAACAATTTGTTTTTTTTTCGCCTTCATCCCAACTATTTGAGATCGGCCACCGTAGTCCAATAAACTTCCACATACATAGGTATCAGAAAAACTATCGATTATCGGACTATCAAGTAATTCGTTTTATTGATAATATCTATTCAGAAAAAATACTCGATTGTTTTTTAAACTACCGATAGTCAAAACAGAACAGGCGTCAATATCCTTTGCAAACGAAGAAACAACAAAAATAATGTTTTGACGCAGTTATTCAACAATCTGGAAGCTGATTATCAAATTTTGCGAGAAAATGAGGCTATATAAAGCAAAAATAGCGTTAAATGACATGAAACACATAAGAAAAAAAAAACAAGGATCAGAAAAAAACATAAAATTATAATATTTATGTGGCCCCTGTTGGCTGGGGTTACACTTATTAATGGGAGATCAGAATAGCCCACCCGTAATTCCTGCTTATCGTAAGAGGTAATTAAAATGAGGTATCGAAAGAGAACAGCAACCGCTACTATTGACCATTGGCGATTTCTGAATTAGAATGGCATTTGAAGGATTTGGTGAAGGCAGCTTAAGCATCTAAGAATTAGCTCACCAACTACGATGTAGAAAACCAGAGGAACCTACTGCATTATATATCCTCAGTATAATGATTTTTAATGATGAATAAAGTAGAGTTAAAAAATTCTGGAAGTAAATTAGTCTCCTGTTCAAATGTCTAGGTGGGGACTAACACTACTATTCCATCAAAAAAAAGAGTGGATTTTGGAATGTGATTTTGAATTTCTGTTAAAATTGATATAAAACCTGTAAACACCTTCATTATACAATTATATATACCTACCTCAAGTCACGAAGACGACGAAATTGAGGAAATGTATGAACAAATTAACGTAATTATAAAGTTATCAAAGGAGAAGGATAATCTGATAATCATGGGGGACTGGAATGCAATTGCGAGAGAAACACAAAAATAAGGTATTTCAGGTGCTTTTGAGCTAGGAGAGTAAAAACAAAAGAGACAAGAGACTAATATAATTTTGTAAAGAGCAAAACTTGATCAACTCAAACACTTTATTTTCACAGCCAAAGCGTAGAAGGTATACGTGGTCTATGTCAGGAGGTGGTACAAGATCAACTGGATTACATTATTGTAAAAAAAAGATACCGAAATCAAGTAAAACAAAGCAAAAGCTACCCTGGGGCAGACATAGATAGCGACCATAATCTAGTTATAATAGAATCTACACTAAGCCTTAAAAAAAATAGAAAACAAATAAATTACAAGGAAAAGATAGTATTATAGACAAATTGAAAAATGAAAAATAAGGCATAACTACAATGAATAGGTAAATAATAAGCTAAAAGAAATGCGAATACGAGATTAGAATGAACTGTATTTTCATATAGTGAAAATACAATGAATTGAAATCGTTAAAAAAAAGTAATCACAAAGGCGACGGAAACGAAACTAGGTAATAAGAGAAATGTCCCGATAAAGCCATGTATAACTAATAAAATTATAGATCTCATAGAAGAACGAGGAAAATATAAAGTTTATAGAAACATGATTTTAAGAAATTCAATGAAAGCAAAGGATGAATGGCTGAATAATTAATGCTTTTCAGTAGACGATTGCTTTATCAAAAGTATGGGTGATAAGGCATACAAGATTATAAAAAGATTATTTTGCAAACATAGAAATAGGTCAATCTTTATAAAATACAGTGATAGAAAAATTACAGTTGATGAAAAGGAAAAGCTAAAGACGTAGAAAGAATACTTAGAAAAACTACATGGAAACAAGCAAACAGACATACACTATCCATGACGATTCGAGAAGATTTGCAATACAACACTATATTGTACACCTAATACTCCGAAAACACTCCTAACATCTCTTGTTACATAAAACACCTGACAGTTTTCTCTACTTAATCCTGGTTTCTGATTCTCGTTAAAGCCACCATTCTTTAGTACAAAATATCCTAGGTACTTAAATTCTCAACTTCACTTATTACTTCATCGCTTATTGTCGTTAGTGATTTCATTTGAAACAATATTTTATTGATTAAATATTTACTGAAAAATGAATGTTTAGATCTCTACTTTTGTCAAAAACATTTATTTCTTAAATATATAATAAAAAAAATTTGCATGCATACTTAAACTGTTTAGTAAATCAATTTATTAAAATAAATAACAATATTCCATATTATTACATAAATATTTTAATCTTGTTTCAATTTGACAAACTTGAACTAGTTCATTTAGATTCCGAGCGTAGCGAGAGAGCTATTGGTTTTACTAAGATGTTTACTTTTTTTTTTTCTTCTAGTCTGTGGACACGTTTTTTCCTAGTAGCTTGCTCCAAATTTTACGTGTAGCAACTTTTCTGAAAGCTCAAATTGTCGAGATTATACATTAGAGGTAATTTTTTGATTTTCAACGCCTTTTTTAAATAGTACGAGGAAACGTAAGAAAACGTAAAATTTCACGATTTCATTATTTTATAAAAACACGGACGTTTTCTGCCTGAAAAAAATGATTTATTCAAAAAATCACAAAATACCTTTTTGTTGCTTTTATAATTGACTTTCTTATGGTATGATCACCAAAACTTTTGAGCTTTTAGGGAATTTTAATCTTTGGAAGTTTTTTGCTGTAATTCGATTACACATAGACTTGAAACTTGATAATAATACTTATATTGGACTTATCCAGATGTGGTAAAATTTACAAAATCATCGGACGACTTTTTTTTTTTTAATAAGCATTTTAAAATCAAATTTAAACGAAAAATAACAAAAAAAAATACGGCATTTCAAATTATGTATTACCAAACTGCGTTTAGAATAGTCTTTTGTCAAGCAATGGTTTATCGTTTCTTACAGATAAAAATGAAATAACCTTATGTATCCTACCTTCCTGACTTCTCACCTAGAATGGCCACTCCTATCCCCAGTATCAGCTCTTTTTTTATTCAAATATAACTTTCCTGTCAATAATGTAAATAATCCTGTACATAATAATATAAATATAATACTTTTCGATTTATTGATATTAACCATAAAAATATTCTTAATATAATTAAGGGATATTTGTTAACATAAAATATATACAATACAATATCATCTTAAACAATTAAACATGTTTGAATATATAAAACATAATTTATAGGTACCTAATCTTTTAATAGCCTTCTAACTTAAATTTTATACATTTTTTTTTTTTAGGGGGAAGCGAGTAGGATGATTAAGTTACAAAAATTAACTTAAATTACAATAGTTTTAAAATAAATTGAACATAATATAAAGTAGGACTTTGACAATGTAATACAAATCATTCTTTATCACAAACTTGTATACATTTTAACAAATTAACAATTTATTACACTTTCTTGGCAGAACGTAACATATCTACAGCATAATCTCTCCATTTTTTTATAACTTCAATTTCTCTATCTGATGCACCGATTTGTTGCTGTATATACTTGAATGCAATATCTAAAGCTAAAGCTCCACGTTGATGATCTATACGCTGCCCACCAAAATCATGTGTAAATAACTTCTTTTCAGCCTCGTGTATATTTTGCTAAATACAATTGAAAAACATTAAAATAACAAAGGCATAATTGGTTTAAACTAAGTACAAATATACTTACAAATTAATTTTAAACAATAAATATTAAACCAATTACAATATTTTACATATACATTGAAAGATATTAGATAAGGTAGATACTTAATATGCTACTGAAATGACAGCTATTGCACAAAATATCTAGCTGCAGCAAATAATCAATACACACATTCAGTGGTGTCGTGAGTATATTTCAAGCCCTAAGCAAAGTACTGAAAAAATTACTCTTAATTACCACACACCCTCACCCATTTTATATATTTCTAGAAATAAACAATTGAATTAGGGAAACACTATTCACCACTGTATAGATTACACATATTTTAGTCACGTATTTCAGTATCTATTAAATATAATTGAACCTTTTTAATTATTATTTAAAAAAAATTATATTTTAATAAACATATCTAATACAATTTATTTATGATTTTTACAAGATATAAAAGTATACTAAACAAGCCTAAAATTTAAAAAAAAAAACAACAAATATTATATTAGTTTAAAATAAATAATATTTGAAGGAAAATTAAAAATTATTATTTTAGATTAGATTTACCAAATATTAAAATATTATCAAATATTATGTTATATTAAGCATAATATAATAGATAAACCATATTAATACAATTTCTGGAATTGATTTTTACAATATAATTTAAAAAATAATAATACCTTACTAAAAAATATAAAACTATAGTAGTTTTAAAGATTTCTTTGACATTTAGAGACAAATACTAACAAATGGGAGATCAGATCAAGTGGAAGTTTTTGATGAAGGGCGACAGATCCTAAATATTTGAGATGAAGGAGGAGAAAAAGAAGAATTTTTAATGTTGCCATATTTATTTTTTGTTTTTATCCAACACTGTCACTCTCTGTCAGATCTCTTTTACACTTTTACTACATACATTTACAGGTTTGTTATCTGCTAGTTATTTATAACATATAACTATAATGCTCACTGGTATATGACAACCTTTATAAACATTATTTATATTAATTTGATTGTCACTGAAAACAATTTAATCAAGCTTCATTAATATAATATAATATGTATTAAAACTTACTTTAGTTTTTAATGGTTTAACTATGATTTGAGACGTGGACTTTTTATTTTTCTTTGGTAGACCTTTTGTGATTGGTTTAGTAGTTTCTTTCATAGTTATTGGAATTTTTAGTCTAACACTTTTGTCATCTTCGTCATCACTCTTTATTGTTATTCTCGGTCTTTTTGTTTTAGAGTTAATTTCTTTATTGTTATTCCAACTAATCTTTATTGGTTCAGTGTTAGAAATAGTTTTTTTATTTGTCTGTATATTATTTAAAGTTTTAATATCTTTTTTCGGAAAAGAACAAATATTTTGTTTCGGTTTGTTTAATTTGTTTAGCAATGGTGAAATATCATCTTCATGATACTTTATTAACTTGGATTCGTTTAATTGCTGTGCACCATTTTCTTCTTCTAAAACAAGTTATACTAATGTTTAATATTCAAATTGGATAAAAACACAATTAACATAAATAATAAAAAAAGTTAATTGATTAAAATTGAAACTATTTTTATAAAAAATATATTAATTAATTATTACATATTTAACTCTGTATGCCACTGACTATTGATAACTTATTTGTATATTTCAATAATTATTAAATCAGAATTTATTTATTATATGTTATTAAATATAAATTATATAATAAAAATATATTAATAATATATTAATAATATAATAATATATTAATATTAAATAAAGAATCAATTATAATCATATTTTCTCTATTGAATATTTGTATGTTCTCATTACCAACAGGGAAATCTAACTTAAGTTCTTCTTTCTCTTCATCAGAAATTTTCAACTTCTCATTGGGAACTTCACAAATTAAAATATCATCAGTCTGACCATTTTTATGAGGTATTATACTTGTATTTTGTTTAGGCGTCTGAAGATCTTCTGTAAAAAGTAAATATTATTCTCATTACATAAATTTAATTTTTAGTATAGATTAGATATTGTATAATCAATGATTACTAATACGGAAAATGCACTTATTATTACCAAACCTTTGATAAAAATTAAAAGATTTAAATAATAACAAAAGAAAAAAACATATTTTGTAAAAACTTTATATTTTAATGTACCAGAAAAGAATCTTTATATTTTAACATTTCTGTTTAAAAACATTTAATTGCTAAAAATAATTTATTACCTATTTCTGTAGTAGATACAGTAACTTGCTGCAATTTTTTTATTACCGTCGATAACCATTTCACAAAAATAGGTGTATTATTTTCCATCAAAAAATCGATACTTTTTACCAACTCTGTAGTAGATTTTTTAGTTGTAACTAACAGCATGATATAATCTATTATTTCATCACCTAGAACATTATATTTTAATAATTTAAAAGAAACCAACAAAATAAAAATATTAATTGGTAGGTCGAGTTATTAAAAACAAAGATACATAGGTAGGAAGGGGGTTTTTTATAACCAAAAAAAATTCATTAATAAATATTTTTTTCATACATTATTACATAATATAGTGACTATTACTGTACATATAAAATTATAAAAACACAAATGTATGATTACCATATCAATACCCTGTGACCGTCATTGCGGAATTCCTGACGACAAATATGTGATCGCTAGCCATCTGACTGAACTATTTTCTATAATTTAATGCATTAATGTATTACCAAGCTATCAAAATTAATATTGTAATTTATCATGGAGTCATGTGTATATTATTTTATTATTATTATTTATTAATTAACATTCCAAAGGAATAATTAGTACAGTTAACAAAAAGATATTACAGCATAGAATTTAGTTAGTGATGTTTATATACACTATATGAATTTAACTGTTAGGTTATACACAATTAATAATTCAATTTAAATTCAATAGAATTATTTTAAATTTAATACGTGAATCTATGAATAAATCAAAATTTGGCACAGTATTGCATAAATCTAATAGGTGGAACTCATTTGGACACAGTATTTTATTATTAAATAATTTATGTATGAAAGCTATATCACTGAGCAACCACCTGGAAGCTAGCGATTCAAGGCCTAATTTTGTGGCTATGGCTTCCAAGGTGGAGTTCGACCAAGCTTATGAGACATCAATATAGATAGCGATGTTGGATATTTTTCCAGATTCTTAACTAGATTATTTTATTTAGGATTCCATAACCTAACCTATCACTGATGAAAATTCTAAAATAAATAAATTCCTAATAACCAATAATAATAATAATAATAATATTGTTTTGTTTTTACACAAATATACTTTTATAATTATTATTTATCACTACTTAAATTCTTTAATTATTTATCTCTGTGATTTTTAGACTCTAAGTAGAGCGAAGAAGCTTATGGTTTTACAATGATGTTTATTTTTTTTTTCTGTGGATAACTTTTTTACCAGTGGACTTGCTTCGATTTTTATGTGTAACAACTTTTCTGAAAGGAAATCGGTGTAGGAAGGTACCTTAGGGAGGTTATTTTTTGATTTTCTTAAGAGTTTTCTCATCAAATGGTAAAACCAAACCCCCCCCCCCAAAAAAAAAAAAAAAAAACGGGAAAATGTAAAAAATACAGGTATTAACTAAACTAAAGATTTACATAATCATTTTCAAAATAATATTTTGTTGCCAAATATGAAGTCAAAAATACATATTTTGGTAAAAGTGTAGTACCTATTATAGTTTCTTTAAATCATATAAAAATAAATCAATGAAAATTATAAAACTGAATGGTCTTAAAGAAGATTTATTACCCTGTACAATGTACACTAAATATAACCCCCACACCACACCCACAAAAAAGTTAATTGTATATACGCCATCATTCAAATATTGAAAATCATGTACTAAATTTGTAATAAAATGATTTTATTGAAATTATATCAGTGTCTGGAGAGTCCAGACTCCATAGATCCCATAAATCTGTTACTTACTGTTAAAAATATATAATTTGTCTAGAGATAGTATGAATAATATATCAACTTAAAACTAAACACTTCTATACTAAGAAGGTCAGAACAGATTTTCCAAATTTTCTCTTTATTAAGTTAAATTTAAAAATTAATTTTTATCATTTTATAACCACTTGAATGATTTGATTTTTACACTTATTTAATATCCGATACCATTGACTATTTTGTTTTTATTTCAAATGGACAAGTCCAATTACAAATGCAAAATACATATAAAAATAATTTAAATAATTATATAATTTTAACATTGAAAAGTAGGGTCGGTTTTAGCAGAACAGTGAAGGAGTACCATTAGGGGCATTTTGAAAGAAATAAAGAGTATACTTGGGGTTGAAAAGGTAATAAAAGAACATGTATGACATGGGAATACACAGAAGATTATTTCACTAAGTAAGGTAGGGAAGTCTATTTGGTTGGATAAAAATTTAGAGAGAAATTGAATATTTGTGTGATGCTTATGATCTGAAAGGAAAATATATGCTTAAATATATATTGTGTATATATGCTTATATATATAAACAATACCGATAACCATTTAAAGGGAAGGAAAATAGTCACTTTTGCGGTGAATGTGACATTTTAGATCAATTAACAGTAGGATATTAGTCAAACATCCTAATATTCAATATAAATTTTTAAACTATGTAGTAAGGAAGGTTAGATTCTAAACTAAAAAATCTATGTGCAACTCAATAGGTCGATCGCTATGATGCAATTATATTATTTGAAGAACTTCAACCAGACATTTTACATACACTAGATAGAATTACACTTTGAACAGATTTTGACACTTCTAGTTCTACAAGTCATTTTCTTTCTGTGATACAAATTAAAATTTCAAATAACTTTATCTATTTTAATGAAAATACTTTCCATAAGTTTTCCACTTAATCGATATCTTCAAACAGTAAATCTTTATTTAAAAACTGTATTAGAAGCTGCTAATGTTCAAAATAATATTAAAGATATTCTAGAAAATAGTGATATTACCATTAGTTTTTCACGTCAATCTAAATCAGATGAACCAAAATATTTTTTTTAAGTATTCATACCTTTTAAAGATAAGTTTTTAGACCAATTAAAGGAAATATTCATATTGTACAAAATTGTTTTGAATAATTTTGGTTGCATTTTACCTAAGATAGAAATGAAAATATCTGAAGATATTAAAGGTAAATTCAAACAGTTAGTAGAAACATATCAAGATATAATTGGTGATATAACAATTAAAATTTAAATAATCATATATTAAATGGAGAATTAGATTTGTGGAACACTAAATATTCAAATTTGATATCTTCCGAACTCAAGAAATCAAGAACAAAAATGCTATTCAAGTATACTTCCAAACTAATCCAGATGTTTATCCAGTAATATCTAAACTTCTTCAAATATATATTCATAACACTTCCAGTGTCTACTGAAACGGGAGAATGATTGTTTTCAACACTCTGTGATTTGAAAAATTCCTCGGGACAGATATGTTTAAATGGTTTAGCCTTACTAAAATATATTTATCGCGGTATCAACGAAGATCAATGATGGTATAGATAAACTTGCTAAAACATCAAAACAAAAAATGAATTTATATTTATAATTTTTAAAAACAATAAATATTTAACTTTTTAGTGCTGTAAAATAGTAATAAAATGTTTAATGTATGATAATAATACACACAAAACTCAAAACAATTTTATTTGTTACATTTTTTTCAACTTCCCCCCCCTAAAAAAAAATTCTGGATACATCACTGGGAATAATTCTCAACTAATATATCAACTAGGTATAATGCTTTTGCTTCAAATAATAAAATACCTAGATGCTCAGTACTTACTAATTATTTAATTACATAATATGTATAAATGTGTACATTATTTTTTTACAAATTATTACTTACTACTATTTGCATTCATTTCTTTAAGCTTAGTTCGTATGGCTTCCTATAACATATTATACAATTACATAAATTACTTTTATTACTTTACATTTAATTCTAAGAATAACTTAATTAAACTTAATTGATTTTGATTATTTTTAAGATCAATGTTTTTGATTTACTTGAAAATAGGACCCCTAAGTCTTAAACAGCATAGAAAATATATATAAAACATTCATACGCTTTTTTATAAATCAATTGTATTTTATTGCTCATACTTTTTTAAATAATTTCAATGAAAATAAATAGTTAACAATACTATATATGGGGTGATTAATTAAATATGCTCACCCCACTTTTAGAACTAAAATATCCAAGCATTCAAATTCTGATTTTTGGAATTTTTACGTGCAGTTAGAAACGATATTTTCATATACTTTTTTCGCAATATTTAAGGAATATCCTGTTGGAAATACCAAATTTGTTTTTTTTTCAAATGAGAACCTATATTAAAAATTGGAATTTAAGACATATGTTATCTACATGAATGTTGATCGCATAATATGTAATCTACGACCCGGACGATAAATGTGGGTCGAACATTGATGGTGTGCTCTTATGTCATAGGCATAGTTATATATATGTTACCAGACAAACCTGACTTTAGAATATATCCTTTACATCAAATGTATTTAGCCTTTAATACACCAATATACAGTATATATTATATAGTCTGCCGATACGGAATATTAAAACTACTCCATCTCTTTCAGTTTTTTTTTTTCTGTAACATTTTGTTGCAACAATTATAAGAAGAGTTAAAAAAGTAGTTTTCCAAGGTAAAAGAAAAAAAATAACGAATGGGATTGGAGTAGATTGCGGTTGTAGTAGATACATTTTCAGTGTAAATAAAATACTGCGAGAGTTCCAAAATTGTCATAAATAGATGGACTAATGGTTAAAATAAATTTAGGTGTTGACATTTTTGATTTCAGTCCTCTCGTTCACGAGAAAATTCAACTTTTAGGTAGGTATAGGCAGGTGGGGAAGTGAAGCATATTAATTTTTGTAGTGGCAAAGCACCTGGTGTTTGAATAATGTTCCACAACCATTCCCCGCCTACACTTTAAAATGGTTTATCTCGTTAACAGTGACAAAAATGAAAAATGTCAACACCAAAATTTATTATAACTATTACTCTATCTATTTATATGATTTTTAATACAGGTTTTCATTAAAAAATAAAGTTGGTATTGCCAAAAGTTGGCAAAATACTCCTTAAATGTTGTGAAATATCTAAGCACCTATATGAAAATATTGTGCATATATTTGAATATATGCATTATTTACTCCTAAAAATGTTATGAGCATACTTCATGGATCAGTTGTATAACTAATTATTTCGACAAATAAAATGCAGTCCAGTTTAATAATCAGTAATATTAGGAAGAAAAATGTCTAAACGTAAAGATAATATTTCTTTTTAAAAAATCTATGTAAAAACACTTACTTTGACTTTTATAGTAACTTCGCCGCCTAAATTATTCATGGTTTTAATTTGAAATGTAATACAAAATTTGTCAAATAAAACGTAAGAAAGAATAGTGAGTTCAAAACACAGAACAGTAAAGAAATTCAACTTTGAATTTCAAAAGTAGTTATTTAATTTTTATCAACACAAAAAATTATAATAAATTAAACGGGTATCATTAAAATGAAACCAGTTTCATCTTACCTGTGCTTATCATGATTACGATAATTGTAGATATTGTTTATTCCAAGATTTTGATAAAAATGGATGAAGTTAATTGTATAGATAATACCATTATGTATGATTAATTGGGATAGGAGACAGTAAGTTAACTATAAATCACGGCTATAGATAGTATCTGCAAATTATGAGAACCGACCGTGAAAAATAGTGGCGTCAACATGTTGTGCAACTTAAATTGATTCAACATTTATTGGAAATAATGTTTAGGCTTAGGCTGTGTGATAAGCGCGTACAAATCTGGAATGTATAAATGTGGAACGTACAATCCTTGAAAATACAAATCTTGAATCCAGGGTTTTACGGTTATCGAAATTTGTACCTGTGGAATGTAAAAGTCTGGAATGTACAAATCTTGATAAATAGTTTTCCATTACTCCAATGTTATCAACTTTTGGACCAAAACATATACGTCAGCAGCCAAAAGCCATTATTTTAAAAATTGTAAGAAAAAACAACACATATTAACCCTACCTCAATTACGCTTGGGGCATTAACTTCCTAAAAGTTCTTATCAGGGTCAGAATACGGCTACCATATCTATTTTTACCAAAACAATTTTTAAGTGTTATTATTAAGTGCATAGATAAAATTTGCAAAAATGGGTTGTACATATAATTGTATATAGAAATTCAGAATTGTTATTCGTTGTTGGTGACCGACACTGGATTCGTAGACAATTATTTTTCAAGATTTGCACATTCCAGACTTTTACATTCCAAGTTTGTTCGGTTCAAATTTCGATAACCATAAAACCTTGGATTAAGGATTTGTATTTTCAAGAATTGTACATTCAAGGTTTGTACGTTGCAGATTTTTACAGGTACCCGGCCGTGTGTATAGGTATGTATTAGGTACCAAAGCAGGACAAAAAATCATCCGAGAAATAACCACCAGACATAAAACCACGCGGTAATAACCGACGAATCAGAATCCGATAAAACGCTACCCGACAGAAAATCCACAGACCTAATAACTATAACTTGGTTTATATGATGTTAAAACGGTTTGAAATTAAAAGTATAATCTTATTCTTATCATGTAAACACATTAAACTGGTTTAAAAACATCAAACCGAATTTAGAATTAAAACACTCGTATTAGGATTGGGTAGTTTAAGAAATTAAAACCGTTTTATGCATTTAAAATCGTTTATATCGCATTGAAATTTTATACACACGTTTTTGTTGAAACCTAATCAAACCTTATTAATTAATTGTAAAACTAATTAATTAATCGTTATTTACAAAGGTGGAACACGTAAATCAGATTCATATAGGGCCGAATTTTGGCTCAGGCCCAGATCTACGGAGGCGAAATTAGAAGATCAGTAAATTTGTACCAAACAAAAAAAGAATTGTATTTTAATTTTTTGTAGATCACGTATTAAAAATGGGTCTAGTGTACAGAGCCGTGCCATGAGGGGAAATAGGGCCTATGCCCCGGGCGCAAATTTTAAGGGGCGACAAAAAATTCATCGGAACGATTTTACAATTATGCTGCGGAAAACAATATAATTACCTATATCACCTATTATGAGAGGGTTTATTGCAGTTTCCCCGAAAAGATGACAAGCGACAGCCGTTATCGATGTCATTAACTTATTAATATAGTATACATAATATGTAGTTACTAGTGTTGTTACCAAATTTGATTTTGGTAAGATAAGCAATACTAAAAAGTTACAGAAAATGTAATATGTATTATCGCGTTAATTTTGACAAATAACTAACAAAACCAAACACCTATAATATAATATTATAAATAATAATTTATTATACTATTATAATATCATATTATAAAACATATTATTAATATGTTATGTATTTAAGAATAATCTTCTAAACGTTTGAGCTATTGATAGACAATTATAATTTTACTAGTTCTATTCGTAATATTTATACAATAGCTACTCTGTGGATAAAATCGTTTGACCGACCAACATCCTTTCTCGGGCAACACTGATTGGTGAGCATTCCAGTAAGTTGTCTATAGAGTTCAATAGTTATTACACGGACTGATAAGACCAGCATGGTTAGTATTTTGGCGTACGTTTAGGAAATTTTGAACGATATTTTCAAACAATTTTACTACTTTCGAAGTATCGGACGTCAAAGATTAAGAATTCATAATATAAGTGATTTATTTATACATAATTTTCTGCGATGAAACAAATAAAACCAATATTTCAGTTACCTCAAACTTTGCCTAAATTTTATAAATCCTCTGCGTCTGAACAAGTTTTAATCGAATTTAACAAAGGAGAATTTGTATATGTAGTCGGAATTGTGGATGTTAGAGTTTTAATTGGTGAAATCGAAGTATTGGGTTTCACGATTTCAGCAGACAGTCCAACTACTACACTGTACTCTTCAGGATTTCATGGTTTAATTTCAATTGGGTCTAATAGTGAACAGAAAGTGACTGTTTTACTTCAGAAGAGTAGCCATACCAGTATGTGGCAGAAGTTTATGAAAGATTATGCACCCAGTATGTCCAAAATGTTTAAACATGTTTATTTTGGTTTAATTACATTTTTTTATAGGTTTTAGTATGTTTGACATAAAAGATTGGAGATTAATACCATCCAAACTTATACTAGAACTGGAAAAAGATTTAGGCTGTGGATTTGATTTAAGCATTACTCCGATGTCAAATCAAAGACTTGTTATCGATGAACAATGGAAAGGTTTTAGCAATGATCTTCTCAACCGTCCTATAAATCGTAAGTTTATAAATCGTAATTTATGTTATATCATATTATCACTTTTACTACTTGTTATTTTTAATTAGAAAAAATAAAAGTTTTATTGGCTGGATACAAAAAATCTGGAAAATCAACATTGATGCGTTATTTCATTAATCGATGCCTAAAAAAATGGAAAAAAATATTAGTGTTGGACTTGGATATTGGTCAGAGTGAATTCACTATGCCTGGATGTGTGTCTGCATTTATTGTCGATACACCATTACTTGGACCAAATTTTACTCATATGTTGCAACCTTTCAAGTAATCAGTATATGTAAAATATGTCCTAATAGTTAATAATATAATACATGCTTTACAACTTTAGATCATATTTTTTTGGGAGCACTGACGTTACGAGTAACATTCCACTTTACCATAAAATTGTTAAAATAATAGTAAAGGACATAGAAAATATTGATTTAAATTGTATTCCATGTTTTATAAACACTATGGGATTTGTTGAAGGTAATATCTACTGTTAAATTAAAACAAATAAAATGTAATATAATTCAAATATAGTTGCATTATTTTAAATTTAGGTTCGGGTCTCGAAATCTTGTACAATATTCTATCTGAAACAAAACCGTCAGATGTAATACAGCTGAAATTTGATGAAAGGCAAGATTTAAATTTACATTCGGAAATAGTTAATGATAATGTAGAATCTACCTTGTCTTATGATCTTTGGTATTTTATATCTACTGTTAAAAATGATTCTGCTAGAGCTCCTCAGTTTCGGTAAATAATATACCATAATCATTTATTTTTAATTAATTCAATCATATTCTGTAATTTCTTATAGAGAAAACATAATTAATAAACATGATTTACAACATTTGATCACAACTTCATATTTCAGTAGGTGTTTGGGATGTACAGACATTTATTTTAGCGATGTTGTTCCATATAAGTAAGTTGAATTTAGTTTAAAATATTGATATAAATTATTATGAACAACATTAATCAAATTTTGAGTTAATTGTATGGATTATATATATGATAGTGTGTATGAAACACATTTTTTACCAATCCAATTGTCCTTAAATAAGTGTTTGGTTTTGATTGAATAATTGTTTAAAACAATTACCTCCCCTATGTATATGTTTATAATAATAAATAATGTTTAATTTACAGAATAAACTTTAGCAATATTAGTATTAAAATAAATGATGTTGAAGAATTAACCAAAGCTGAGTATTTAAAAACAATAAATACCAATGTAATTGTCTTGTGTGTTTCTAAAGCTACAACAGACTTATGTGAATGTGTAGGATTTGGTATATTATTTTGATTATTTATTTTTTATTTTATAAAGTATATGAGTTGACAATGTTTTAATTTTTTTATTATTTTAGGTATTGTTCGAAATGTAAATATATCTACTGGTGACATATATGTAGTTACACCTGTAGCACCAGATATATTAAACCATGTTAATCAGTTCCGACTTTGGATTTTCAAGTATCCACCATCAACTTTTTATTCAATAGGTACAACAAATTCAAAATATTGTAATGTTAAACAAGATAACTTTTTTAACGAGAATGTAGCAAGACATTATAAAGTGATGTTATGAATATTTTATTAATTTATCATCAAAATTACAAAATAATAGGTAATTATTATTAAAAATCATAAATAAGTGAGATCAATGTCTTAGAAATAATTAAAATAATTTGTTTCTTAATTTATATCCCTATCAAATCTAAAATAAATAGCTGTGAGTATACTTTTAGTACCCATTTTTGGTATCACTAATGATGAACTTTGATAATCTATTTTGCTTGACTTTGGCAATAATTCACCTATTTCAAATGACCCTAATTCAATCATCACTTCAAAGGCTGCATGGCATTTATATTGATTATTAGCTGCCAAATCATAAAACCTAATCAAACAAAACAGAATTGTTATTGAAATTACTTCTCATGTCATTGAGATTAACTTACTTGAAAGGTTTAATGTTTTGACAACAAACTGTACGTTTTAAATATGGATAAAGAATAATGTTTTCCGATTCAGAATCTGTTAACACATAATTTATTATTGTAACATTTTAATAATTCTACTGTAAAAAATATACAAGACAAATTTTTACCGTCATGAGCCACTAAAGTTCCATTATCTAAACATTTACGAATCATATCAAATGATTTCCCAATGTATGCAGATCTCCACTTATCCAAAATTAAATTATTGAATTTTGGATGTTTACGAAGTGAAAATTTGCACCAACCTGCTTCAATAGATAATTTATTTTCATCATGTGTATACAAATTGCATCCATCACAATAGCATGTATGTCCAGAGTCTAAGAAAAATTCTTCTAAGGAGAAAAAAAAATATTCAAGATTATACATTTAAATTAACTTAAATGTATACTGACCTGGGATACTAAGATATGCCCTAATTTTCAACGATAAATTAAAATATTGACACTGCTTAAGGCGCAAAGATTTCAATATATCGTATTGTCTTTGTTCTCTAGTATCAGGAGTATAATAGCTAGAGGGTTTTCCTGTACGCATTTTCGAAACCCTCAGTGTAGATGTACTTGCTTCTTCATCAATCCATTCGGCTAATTCAGCTGAACGAGATCTAATATCATGACCACTAGCCACCAAAACATTTTCATTTGTCTTATCAGTTTTCATCCAAGTCAAATCTGCTAATTCACTTTCTTCAAAAGCAGGGCTCTGTTTTTCATCACCTTCTAAATCAGCTTTCTCTTCAGATGGAATTTGTTGACTTGCATCTTCTGGCAATAAGTCACATTCCAAAGGCATATTTGGGCCAAGCTCGACAGGTGACATGTCTATAAAAGGATTTACTATAGACACCTAATTTTTTGAATAAATAAATTAATAATTAACTTTTGGGGTTAAATAATAATTTAAAAAAATAATGAAATGTACTTGTTCACACTGGCCATACAAATCAACAATACCGTAACAATCAGCTGGCATGTTAATAGCAGCTATTCCATAATCTATCCGATTAACAAACAGTTTTAAATTTTTTTCACCATCAATCATGATTCCAATTATATCCTCTGGTAAGCAATAATTTAAATCCGGACCATAATTACTTTTGATCTAACAAAAAATACAATAAAAAAAATATGTATATTATATAAATTTAAAGAAACCCTGTGTTATTCAATGTGTATGGAAACTACATACCTTAAGACCATCAAAATATACAGAATCACCAGATATTATCCACGTACTATCATATCCTTTTAAAGATAATGCGGTTGCAGGTGCAGTGTTATTTGAACATGTTATCTTGGATACACCTATCATTATTGAAGAATCCCATTTTTTATTCAAAGATTGAATTACAACCTATTTATCAATATCAATCACAATAAAATATATACAATTTTTTCATTGGTTTCCTATGAACCTGAAATATAGTGTTTGGTAGTAAAATATCTGATGTCATTAACAATCCATGGTTGTAACTATCAGTTCTAGTTGCTGTACGACCATCTCTTGATAAACGCACATTGCGACCTCGCCAATCATTAAATCTCATTAATTTGTAAGTAGACTATATTTAAATAAAATATTATTTTTATTCATTTATTATTTTTTGGAATCCAAGAAACATTTTACCTCATCTATAAAACAACTCATTTCTGATGAACAGCATTCACTCATATCTTCATCCAATACAGTCATTCTTTTCAAAACATTAATTGTAGTGTCACTAAAATAGAATAATTATTCAAAAATATTATAATTATTTAAATTAAATATTTTAATATTTACACTTTAACTGATTCAGATACATCAGATAGATTATCACTGCATTGTGATGACATTATTTGCTCATTAGTTTTTGAATCTTGATCATTATGTATTACTTTAGCCGAAATATGACAGCCATATAAATCGATCACTCCATATACAACCTAATACAAAGTCAATCAAATCAAGACAATTTTTAAAATATTTATATTAATTACCTCAGGTAAATTATATATAGCAGTTCCTTGATCATAGCCATTTACATACAAATGTAATGTCCGATCCCCAGTATACTTGATACCAATTCTATCACCTTCTCTCAATCTATCTAAACTTGGACAATAGTTACTCATGATTGGTGATTGATTGTTCCATACTTTATTTCCTAGAAATAATAAGATGTATCTTTTTTTTTTGTTTTAAAGGTAGGTACAAAATAATAAAATATATTATAGCATTTTGGTCAAAATTTGCAACAATGATTCATTCCTCTATAATTCTACTACAATTGTTTTTGAAAAATAAAGTATGATCATCATTTATTTTTTGAAATCGTTAACATTTAGTTTAATCAGACAATGTCAAAAAAAGTTAGATATAATTACTCAAATTTTATTTGTATGGTAAAATATAGATTGATCCTTAGCTAATTCTAGATTCTGTGTGGATTTTTTTTTTTATTTATCTGAACAACTTTTCTCTCAGAAATCTTGCTCCGATTTTTAAGTATAGCACTTTTTATTAAAGGTTATTTTACTGGGGTACTAAGTACTTTTGGGCGGTTGTTTTTTGATTTTGATTTCAAGAATTTTCCCAATAAATAAAAATATGGGAAAAACAAGAAAATAAGTACAATATTATGAAAGAAAATATATAATGCATATACAATTATTTTACTATGAATTGACCTATATATTGTTGACCAAGCATCACTATGAACTAAACTCCGCTCAGAATCAATGGTTAGCAATGGTTAACCATTACTTATAGATGAAAATTAAATTACCTTTAACGGTGACTGCACCCTTCCCCTTTATCTTAAGAACTTTTTTTTTAGCATACCTGAAAAATACCATATATCTCTGTTTCCATTTAAATCTTTGATACTTGGTGGTAATGGTGTTTTTGGTAAACTGCTAATAATACCAATTCGCAAACTTCCAGCATAATTTGTATTGCATTGCACTATTAATATCTGGAATAATTCATTTGGTACCATCTTATTATTGCATATTATAAGACCCCCTTTAAAAGATTTTATTCTTGTAGCTGTCCTGTTTTCTTCAATTAATCTTATGTTTATTCCATAAAGATATTCTGATAAATTAATATACCTAAACAAAAACAAATCATCATAAATTCAAAAAATATTCATTACTCATCTTACTTTTGTCCTTTAGTCCCAGTCTCAGTCTGAATTGATATTGCATCATCCTGGGAGCAACAACTTGTATCAGAGTCACTTTCATCACATCTTATTTCTAGTGGACTCTGAATAGTAACCTGAGTGCAGCGGCCATATATATCGATCAATGGATACAAATTTGGTGGCACATTAATGCATGCTATCCCTTGATCCTTGCCATCCAAAAAATAACTAAGACATCCATTATCGTGTCTCATTATACCAACCACAGAACCCACTTTAATTTTATCCAAGTCTAATGGATAATCATATTTAACTGCTATTCCATCTTTCATGATAGTGCATCCTGATAAAACCCAAGTATCATGATCTAAATCTGTCATCGTATTTGGTAGATCTATAGACAATATATTTGGTGGAATTGTAGTAACCCCTAGAAAGTATTATTAATTGAAAATTATTTCCTAATTTCCCATTATCTATTATAACAATAATAAATATTTTCTGTTATTCTCACCAACTTCTATTGAACCTGACCATCGATCATTCAGTCTATCCACGCTAACAGCAAATAATTCACCATCTTGTAATGTTTGATTGACTAGAACAATTGACTGACTGAATTCATATTCACTGTATAACCTATCGGCTGTTCGACCACGTGATCCAGGAACAACACGTGCATTTTTTCCATGATTAGGAAAGAATCTAACATTATTTCTACAACAGGACAATAAATAAATTATAACTAATATCGATTATTGATGTAATTTTAAAAAATTATTTACTTATATGGAGAAATTTGATCAACATTATCACGACATATAGTAATTTGAGCCGCCTGTCCATATAAATCAACAACACCGTATACACCAACTGGGACATTTTTAGCTGCTTCTCCTTGGTCTACTCCATTGACAAAGAAATGTAAAGTGCCATCCGATTTTACCATGGCACCAACACGGTCTCCTACCCTCAATGTATCTAAATTCACTCCGTATTGGTTGACTACTGTTATCCCATTGTGCATAATTCCAACACCAGTCATCATCCAAGTACCGGAATGAACATTTGTCATTGTTAAAGGATAATCAATGTCTCCTGGACAATGTGTGGTTACTCCAATTTCAATTGAACCAGCCCATTTAGTGATTAAACGATCTAAACGTACTTCAAACAGTTCATCTGAACGTAAAGGTCGCTTAGTTAATACGACACCGTTATTAAAATCATCTAATGCACTAGAAAATAAATACTTAATAAATAATAATTTAACTAATTTACATATTTAATTGTGTTACTTTGGTCTATAAGCAACTGTATTATTGTTAATAACTAGAGTATGAGCACCACACATTGGATGGAATTCTAGTAAATCTTCATCCAACACTACAACAAAAGTAATAATTTTATATTTACATCTATTTAAGTAAATTTAAATCTGAAATTATTACGTGGGTTTTCATTAGACATGGTCAATGAATTGCTTAATCTTGTGAGTAAATTTTTTTCCTCGTTGACGTCGCGATCAACAATAGTGACTTTAACTGTCCTGCCATACATATCTACAACACCCCACACTTTAGGGGGTAAATTAGAGACTGCAACTCCTTGATCAAGACTATTGATGTAATAATGTAAATCACCGTTTCGCTTGCGCATCAGTCCAATACGATCCCCTACCTGAAACATAGGCATATTACACGTATTGTAATGAAAAACTCAAACTTTTACTTAATGTTATTTTTGAGTTAATACCTTCAAATCGTCCAGATTGAAATTACCATACTCTCGTCTGATGCCTTTTCCATTGGCCAATATACCACGCCCAGACATCATTGAAGTGCCGGTCCTCATGTTGGTCATTGTCGACGGTATTGGTATGGCTCCGGGATCATGAACAGTTACACCCACCTCAACACTTCCACTCCACTTGTCTACCAATTTGTCAATACGGATCTATAGAATACAAACAGACAGGGCAATCAGAAGCCTATCAGCTGGACAATTGTCATTTCATACCTCGAACAATTCGTCATCATTTAAATTTCTGTTGGTCATAACTACTCCATTGTTAAATTCATCGAACGCCCGTAACCTTTTGGCCGTTCGGTTATTTGGTGAAAGTTTTACTAACGTGCCGCAATGCAAGTGAAATCTCAGGCGGTCGTCAAAATTGACAGGCTGCATTTTTTATTGTTTTACTAAAACGAGAAGATTTTACATAGTTGTCCCAGATTGCGGACAAGTATAGGTAATATTAACAGCCGTAGAACAAATTTTAAATATTATTTTGTAGTCGCAAATGTTGATTAAACGAATATAAAAATCTTAACCTTTGTCCAAAAAGGGGCGAAAACCCGATAGCCTACCCGCAAATAATAAAGAGTAGATATTAGACAGTTTAGTCGAGCCGGCGAGACATTTATCAATCAACGAAAAAATTCACCGAACTGCCGATCAACGACGACTGAGGCTGACGGAATCGTTTATCGTCACAGTAATAACAGTATTGTTATCGTTTGTTTTTGTTTATCGGAGAGAGGGGCAACGATTATTGATAAGAACAGTATGTTGCGGGCTCGCAGTTGCATTTCGTTCGAGCAGCCTGCTGCCGAGCATTTCGCAACTTTTGAGAAGTTTTTGAATTTTGAGCGGGAAAATTTTCGACCGTCTGTTTTTTTTCCACTATTCGCCAATGATTTGATTTCAAAAGTTATTATAGGTATATCTTATATGATACATTGTTGTATAATCAGCGGTGTAGGGTGTAGCGAATGTGGGGTAATGGCAAGGTTTAAAATAATAACTTAAATCGTAAGTTTTTCGTAAGATTGCAATAATTAACAACCTATTTCTTTAACAATGTCAATATCTAAACTTTTTGAAAAATGTGTTAATAGTCTTACAATTTTTAAATACAAATAAATTTTTTTCTATAAATCAGACTGGTTTTATGAAAAAATAAATCAACAACTGATGCTTTAGTTGCTGTTACAGATCACATACGTAGGTTTTTAGATTATAATAAAAGAGCAATTGGTATATTTCTTAATATTAAAAAGGCCTTTGATTCAGTTAATCATACAATTGTATTAAAAAAAATTAGAATCTTGTAGTATAAGAGGAACGGTTAATTGTTTTTTTAAGTAATACTTAGATTCAATGCTATGCTTATTGGGAAAGTGTCAATGTGTTTATTTTTCTTATAAAAAAATAATGTAAATACTGTTATTATTGACAAGTAAACATTATTATTATTATTAAGTTATGGTCGTCTTGAAACCATGAATTAAGATAATATTATCTTAATTATTGGTTATAACAAAAAACATAATATTCTCGAAACAACTTTTAAATTAAAAATAAGTTGTACTTTGTTGGTACCTATAACTTATTTTAAAACATTGGATAGTGCCGAATTTAGATATGTTGCGCCTAAATGTAAAAATAATTTTACTTCTCTACTTATATTTAATTGTCACTATAAAAAAAAAAAAATGTTCATTTTGTTATTTTATTACATAGATTATTAATAATTACAGTACCTATTAACTATTAGATATTCATTATAAACAAGATATAAATAAATGTCGATAATAAAAATTAATATTATATTTCTTTCATACATATAAATCACTATAATAAATATAATTGTTTAGTAATTAAAATTTTTAGTAATCAATAACAATATTTTTTAAGTGGACACATTTATTAGCGAATAAAGTACTTTTTTTTCCTAATTAATCGACAGCAGTGAAGGATGGAGGATGCCTGTTTCTCGAGCAGTCAAATCGCGTTTACACCGTGATCGACTTGTTGTTTTGAAAATAACAAATAATATGTAATTATATATTGAAATTTAAATTTAAATCTAGTTATGTATAATTATTATTATTTCACATCATTTTATAATTGATCAGCGGGGAAATCCAAATTGACAAAAGCCGCGTTATGTATACTGAAATTTATACTTTGGAAGACGCGTAATGCATATTTGCCACATAATACAAATGAGCGGCCTAATTTCAATTATTTCCGATATCATACGGACCGTGATTAACTTAATTTAGTGATTTTCGATAATGGTTTTTAACTTCAGGTACAATGTGTAAAGTAGTTAGTATACCATATCAATTTTGTGTTTTGTTTTACTGTCTTTTATCACCGGTTACAAAAAATTAATATTAACAATATAAAGTCAGAAACAAACATCGAAAACCACTAAAAGGAGGTAAGTCACGGTATGTACGATATCGGAAATAATTGAAATGGAATCACAGTGACGGCCTTTCATGTTACTCAATTTATTTACACTATGCGTCTTCCATAGTATATACTTTACTGGTTATGTCAAATAAAAATCAATAATATGGTAGACAGTGTAAATAAATAAAAACACTAACTCGTATATAATATGATGAACGTTATTTATTACGGAGATGTTCTTCCCGTAGCCTCGTGCGAGTCGTGCGTATTAAGAACTAACTGCGGATGGTATGCTGTATGCATCACACCGACACCGTCCGTTACAGACAGATGGTATAATGATAATGATTTAGAGCCTACATTTATGATCCACCACTCTTTGACATAGGTCTTTTAAAGATAAACTTGAGTTTTACAATGACCCAAGTTTAATGAAGCCGAAGACGATGTTGAATCATTTCTTATTAAATGCATAATAAAATCGAACTAATTGCGGTTTATTTTAAATCTTCTTTTTGTAAAAAATGGATCATTCTCTCTTTTTTTTTTTCTTCTGACAGATACCAGGGCCAGAGCCAGATTTAGGGCCCCGCGGGGGTCATAAAATTCATAAAATTCATAAAATTTTGGAATTTTATGATATTTAAATTATGATACAGAAAAAATGTTTTATTGATATTGACCCATATTTAATTAAATAATATTGAACTCTATCGTAATCATTGTGCATTGTCTATTGTAATAATATTGATAAATACATTTCTAAATATACACATGTGGGTCTGGAATGTCTAGTATCTCAAAACGTCATAGTAAACACGATGGTCAACGACAATAATTCATAGTCAGAAGAAATGATGAGATTAGTTTTCGGTAATATCATAAAATATGTACGACAGACTGTCCGTCTGTATATTATTGTTTGGTTATTTGTTCGTTATTCGTTATTCGTTATTAATTTATTATTATTAATGCACACCATTAGCAACATTTGTGTATAATAATTTTCACAATTATTGTTGTATTCTTTTCGTATACATTAGTTACATTAGGCTATAGTGTTTTCTATATTATAAGATATTAATCAGGAAATTGTGTTAAAATTTTTACAAATTTAAAAATGGAAGAAAATCGTCATAAATTAAAGCGATTTTATATGAGTGTTGCAGATAAACGTAAACAGGCAAAAGAAAAAGAAAAAAAAGGTAGACATACTCCGCACAATAGATGCAGCCATTGTTGTTGATGAGAAGTTGGGATGGTAGGATATATAGAGGAGAAATTAATTTGTATCTGTAAGTCATTGTTTACTAAAAACGATTTTGAGTTCCATTGATAGTGATGCTTTCCAACAATATATATGTAGTATTATGGTAAAATAATTATATTTTATATATATTTTCTTTAATAATATTTGTTTAATATTGTACCGATTTTCCTATGTTTTTTTGGATTTTTCACATTTGCTGGGAAAACTTGGGAAAATCGAAAAATGGCCTTTTAAAGTACCTTCTCAGTCAGATTTTCTTTTAGAAAAAGTATTATCATTGTAAATCGGAATAAAATTTCTTATAAAAAAGTTGTCCACAGAAAAATAATCTTAATATTTTACTATTTTATTTCATACATTTTTCTTTCATTTTTTGTTTTCAGTTTTTTGCATTTGATCAGAAAACTCCTGAGAAAATCAAAAAATTACCTCCCTAAAGTACCACCCATAGAAAATTTTCTTTCAAATGATTATTATTAAATAAGTATTTAATTGTTTCTAATAAACGTTATTTAATGAGCAAAAAAATATGTTTTCTTGTTTATGTATAAGGGGCCCCTACAAAGCAATCCACTCAGGGGCTACCACATAACTAAATTCGCCCCTGCTGAGTGATATGGCTCTCTACCCCCTGATCAGGGAGTTTCAGTATTTCGCAATCTTGGTTGCGTGCTCGGCACACGGGGCTGTGTAAAGCACTCTGCTGCAAACTACCAACATTAGTAATGCCCTCTTGGATTGGATTCCAATAATGTGCTTGAGTCATCCTTATATTAATTTTAAATTACCTACTTCAGTATTCTTTCAAACTTTAACTGACATCAATTTTGGTAATTTAAGAAAGAAATTGTAATTTAGTATGATTCATTCCTTGTTTACAAGTTGTGACTTGAGTTGGTCAAGTACTCAAGTATGACGGAATAGTTGTTGATTTTAAAATTATTATATTGAATTGTTGAATCTTCAGATTGTTCTTTGTCAAAAACTGTTTTTCTTTATTTTAAACATTTGGTACAGAATTTAAACAGATGCATTCAAAACTTTCCAGCGTTGGGTAGAAGCTATGAAAAACATGAAAATATTTTTAAGTATCTATGTAAATGAAGGAATTTAATAGCCTGAGTACAATGATCATTTATTTTTACAAAGAGAATGTGCAGAACATAAGATAAATTTTGCTAAGGGGTTGACTTTTTAAACATTTGATTGCAGTCCAGAATAAATCTCCAATATATTTACTGCTTTCAAAGCATTTTTACATGCTTACAAGCATTTGAGCATTTATTTTTCTTTATCTGTAGATTGTAGGTACCTAAATATATAAAAAAAAAATAAACAAATGAATAAATGCATCGCCTGGAGTATTCATTCATTTATTTATTTTATTTTTATATATACTTTTTTTATTTATATATTTATTTATGATTATTAACCATTTTAATAATTTTGTTTTTACTTTATTATTTCCTACATATTCATTTATTCAAATTCATAACACGATTGATTATATTTTTATAAGCTTATATATAGACACTAATATTCACCAAGAATATTTTTTAGTTGCAATTATTTAACATAAATACATTTTCCAAATTGTTCAACTATATTTAAGCCTCTAGGAAATTAAAATTAATATGTATGTTTCACAATAAATTGTATATGTATACATATATTATATAAATATGTATGTCTAATTAAATATTGTGTATTTATATAATATTAAATAATAGCTAAATAAGTATATAAATAATAACAATAATATTGTTGTATATTATATTAAATATTAATAATATTTATAAGATTCATCATTGAACAGTTGTTAAATTTTAACGTGTATAATAAAATTTACACAAACAAATTAACATAATAACAAATTTAACTATAGTTATACTGCATCTTTATATTTTGTCGAGTACATAGTGAAAAGAACCATGTGATAAACTAGGTGTATAATTTTCAATAGATACCAAAAAGCTTGGACTTATGTTATAGGTATACAACTAATAACATTGATTTTATAATATTTACCGAGATAGATGTTGTTATAAAACTATCGCTAATATTATATAAATAATCTTAATTTTATTATTAAACTGTTTAATGACTAGGTATACATATAACATAGATTAGATTACTTATCTATCAAATACAATCTATTACTCATTATATCATTATAAATCGTACGTATAATAGTGATAATTATGAATTATTTGATGGCAACGGTGGTTACATGAAGTTGTTGTGGAAATGTAATTGAGGAGGATTGCCTCCAACCGGTGATCGGAGCGGAATATCATCACTCTTTCTGTGTACCATTTGTCTACCTGACCAAGCACGCGTCGGACTCGGGGAGTTACGACAAGTCCTCGGCAACGTATCAATCGATCGAATAGGACTTTGAATATTTAGTACACTTCTAGGCAACGCTTCGACGGATAGGCTAAGTGCTCCTACGCCACTACTTCGACCTTGCATTCTCATCAACTTTCGTTTCTATAAAAATAAATTATTTTAGTAGGTAGGTACACATTAGACTGTATAAAAATTGCATAATAATGTTTTTTTCATTTTCTGAGTAGAGCGAAGAAGCTTATGATTTAATAAAAATGTTTATTTATTTTTTTTCTGTAGATAACTTTTCTACCAGAGGACTTGCTCGAATTTTTACGTGTAACAACTTTTCTGAAAGGAAATCGATATATTAAAAAAGTCAATTTTTTGATTTTCTCAAATTTTCTTGTCAAATACGAAAAACTGAAAAAAAAAAATGGGAAAATGTAAGAAATGTAGGTATTAGCAAAGATATTATGGCCTTCTTTTTTCCTGTTGACAACTTTTCTATCAGTAATTTTTCTTCAACTTTTAATGATAGCAATTTTTCTAAAAGGAAATTTCTTTCGTTTATCTACTTTTTCAGGAGTTATCTTAGCAAATGTGTAAAACTGGGAAAAAACATGGGAAAACCGAGAAAAATTAAGGGAAAGCAGAGAAATTGGTACAACTTAAAACAAATATTATTAAAGAGAATTTAAAGAGCCTACTTAATTGTTTTACTACAATATGGCATATATATTTTTAACAAAACATCACTATCAACTGAACTCCGCTCAGAATCGTTTATTTGTAAGCAATGGTTTATCATTCCTTACAGGTATAAATTAAATTACCTATAACAGTGGCTGCACTATCTCCATTATCCTAGGACATATTTTTTTTACAAATATTTTTAAACAATCTATACTAACCTGAACTATAGCCCTCCAAGTTTGTCCATAATTGCGTGCCAATTGCAATCGATTTTGCTTGCGTACGTGGTGCTTTTTGTAGCCAATTTCGATAACAATTAAAACCATTCCGACTACTATACCCACGGCAACTAGTATAAATACACCGGCCATATTTTTCAACCCTAACGTGTTTGGCGTTTTTTCTTGATCTTCACATTGTTCCACTCTACCTTGAAAAATCCACTTGTCGTCTAAACTCTCCATAAAACCACCTGATAAATAAAAGTGCCAAACAGATCAGAATAATAATTTATTACCAAGGACTACATTATTTTAACATTATAAGCATACTCTCGTGAAAATCCAATATTGATAAGGTCACCGATTCCGACCAAGGTGATCCTTTCTGCAAACCAATCCCGTAACCAGAACGTCCAAATAATTCACCAGCAGTGACTAGTTGACAGTCTTGTGCGGCTTCAAATTCCAAACGACTGCTGTCCCATATGAAAGCCATGAGTTTACTGGAAAATAATTTTTAAATTTCTGTATAATAATAATAATATATTTATTCGGCCATAAAAATAATTAGCACATGTTTAAAGTAGCAATAATGTCTAACAATAACACATAATTAATAAAATAAAAAAAATTTAACTAACAAGAGTTTTTGGCCCAATTCACCACTGTGGTGTAACCTCGTATTTCAATGAAATAATTGTTTAACATTGAAGACATTCATTTCTTTAAAAAGCTTCTCTAAAGAGTAAAATTTTGGTTTATTTAAAATTATTATTATAATGCTTTTTTGTGTTGTAAGTAGTTTGTTATGTGTCATTATTTCTAGTCCACCCTAGGCGGTAATTCCATATTGTACAATAGATTAGGTCATTACAAAATAAGTCATGCATAGAATTGATTTATCTAGTACTTTTCTAACATCAATATAAAAGTGATTAAGCTTTTGCATCTTTATTATTAAGTTTTGAATTTGAATATCCCATTTTATATTTTAATCAAATATGACACCTAGATATTTAGTACTGTTTGTTTTTTAAATCATTATTAGTTCTATAACTTGGTTATGAATTTAATTTTACTAAAATTTAGCTTTAAATTGTGTTTATAAAGCCATTAGTTGATAATATATATATATCAGACTCAGCGTATTTCTTTTTATTTCAGCATAAGTCTTTTCCCAACTAGTTTTAGATACGATTAGAGCCGTGTCATCAGCATATGAGAATAATTTACTATGTATATTTGCACCTTAACTACTTAGTTCCGCTATTTATATTATTATATATAAGAAAGGAGAAAGAACAGTGCTTTGGGGAACTCCATGAGTGATTTATAATTCGTCACTAAAGGTATCACAAATTCGTGCTTGCTGTTTACTATTTTACTTTTAAAGATTCAAAAAGTTCATAAGGTTTGTTATCTATACCTATCGATTAGAGAGTACATAACAATTTATCATGAGAGATGCTATCAAATCTCTACTTAGGTCCATGGATATTCCAAGAGTTTTGTTTTTATTTTCCAAGTTGGTGTATATATCATTAGAGAATTGAGCTATTGTATCTTTCGTATCTAAGTTTTTTCTAAAATCATATTGAGATTTTGGTAAAATGAAGTTTTCTTCCCTTTCAAATATTTTTGAAAATATATTTAGAAATTGATTGGTCTATAGTTAACAATATCTGACTTAACTTCATCTTTATGTATGAGTGATATTAATGCAATTTCAAATAAATTCAGTATAATGCCTTCCAGTAAAATCGTATTAAATATATGCACTAGGGTATCCAATATATATTCTTTAATACGTTTTATGATTTTTATAAAAATTCTGTCCTTACCTGGGGCTGAGTCACCTTTCATGTTTTTAATTTCTTCTTTCATGGTCATTCTAAGACATAATGAATGAATAGAATTATTATTAACGGAGGCGTGGTTTTTTTGTTAATTTAAAATATCCTTGTTTGGATCCCCATTCACATAAAATACGAGTTAAATTTGTTTGCGACTAAGGTGGCATCCTTGTTTGAGTCGTGTATTTTATTGTTAATGTTTATGTTGAAGCTCTGTGTTTTACTTGGAGTATGGGTTGTTATATCTTTAATTGTTGACCATAACTTTTTTATGTTATTAGTGTTTTTAGAAATTATTAAATTAATTATTTAATATTATTAAATATAAATATTATTATAGCTATAGTAAACCGACGTGTTTGCTACATACTCGTTCTTCACATCACGGATGGCTTCTTCGGCAGTTTCATAGTTGTTAGCCTCCATCGTCCTGTACATGTTAGATAGCTCCACTTGCCGCCTAAAGTACATGTCGACCGCGGATCCCTTGACAGTGGCACAAGTCAAATTCTCCATCGTACTACGGAGCTGTTCACAAAGCAAATCCTTATTTAAATATTATTGTTATTATTATTATTATTATTATTATATTAATATAGTCGAATACGACGTTTTACTGCAGGAAAACAAACATGATTAGGTAATAAAAATGATTACATCTTATATTTTTATTTTATGCTATAATGTAAAAACTCGATTTTATTACATAAAATATATCTGTGTGTGTTTTTCAATTTAACACGTCATACAAATAAAACACTCACCCTAGCGTCGTTGATCCCGGACAACTTGGTCTTTGGCCTCTCGAGCACGAGAAAAGCAGCCAAATTGGCAGTGTACGAAGCCACGATGATCATCGCGAATCCAGCCCACACCATTCCCAGCACTCTAGCCGAGAAACTTCTGGGCGTCCCTTCTCCGATACCGCTGTTCAACAACACTCCCCATGCGAACCACGTGGCACTCGATAAGTTCAACGCGTCTTCTTCTGTTCCGTCAGCGTTAATCAACTTGAACCGGGCAAACGGCGAGAATCTATCAAGAAGATATAAAACGAGCGCTACCACGTGAACGGAACCCATGACAAGTACCCACAACGTGTGACTGAACGGTTGCAAAAACGATACAAGTGTCGAAGACCGCGATGGCTGTATAAAGTATTATTGAAAATAAATGGAAAATGGAAAATCTTCGATTATTCGTAGTTTACCTTTTTCTCCAGAATCGTAATTCCCTGATACTTGAATGGTTTACTGAATTCTATGAACTCCGCTCGTTCTGGATTAATGGTGAGTGGGGCTAATATCATATCTGCTCGTTCGTACACTAATTCTCCGATCAAACCGTTCCATTCTTTTTTCCCACTCACTGTAATACAATTATATATTTTTATACATCCATTATGGATTCTTTAGATTTTTGCATATATTATGGAACCTGATCTATTTCTTATTTCATAGTTTCCAAACTGTCCGTCCGGTGACAACGATAAACTGTACGTGAAATTAATCGTCTTGGATAACTCCACAAGCAAATCAATACAATATCCTTTACAGCAATAGACCTTTGGTTCTAGAAATTAAATGATAATAATTAAATAAACTAACTATATATAGGTATGCAATATAATAATATTTTACCTTTAGTCGAAGTATTATACAACGGACACATTATTTCATCCGACTCGCAACTATTTCCATTGTCTTTTTTCAATGGTCTTATATAGACAAACGGTTTTTCTTCTATAGTCAACACTTTTAAATGAGTCGGAATCATAAAACCTTCGGGTTTCTTCGTCAAACGTCCTGGCCATATAATATTGGATTCGTTGAGCCGCAATTTCATTTTATTTAGTTCCTAAAACAATTTTTTTCATTTAACTTTTTTTAGATATCTATATATACTGTAGATAAATCGTATATAAATCTCGTCATTGGTTACATTATCAAAGTAATATTTTCCAATAGCGTCTTTATTTGTCACTTGTTTGACATTGACTATATCGTATTCAGCGTATATTCGATCACCGTTGTTATCAAACGCCACTTTGCCCGTGTGTCCGTCTTTGTATACTTGCTTCTTGATATATCTGTGTGTACGAATGAAAAATAAATATAATAACCACATACTTGCAAGTTGCAACTTATTCATTTTCTACTCTATTGAGTAAAAGTATACTCACTCGAAAAGAGTTCTACCGGTTTCCCAAATACTGCCAGAATTGTCGCAATCGGCGGGTGGTTGCGTTATGGTTTTCGTTCGGTTCATGTCCGAAATCGCTGAAGCCAATATATATCTGTGAATCGGATGGCGAAAAAACCAGTCACACTTCAATGGTAGTTCATGGCACATGAATTACTTATCGTACTATACTTACATGCTGTCGTATATATGAGCGAACTCGTTGGAAGCGTTGACCAATTTCAGCCCGATAGTACCTTCCGGTACATTAACGGCGTCCAAAGCTTGCTCCGTAACGATCCACACGTATCCGGCCTCAGTCATGTTCCGGTTGGCCGCGTTTCTGAAAATAACTTCGGCGTCTATTTTGCTTGCGTACATCAGATACACTCTGGCCTGTGCGTTTTTCATTTCGTTTAACTGGTTGTTAAAATGAATCAGACCAGGTTCGAATTCGATAACAGACTCCACCTATAACATCGAGAAAAGTGTTCGAGCTATTGGATTTTGAGTGGTTGGAGATAATACATCGAATTGAATTTCTTTTTAGAGTAATACATTCGTGAATTCACTTACTTTTACTATTAAAGAATGATGAATGCGAATTCATTCATTTTGTCGGAATATGAATGCAAATGATAGAATACCAAAATATATAATGAAATACGTGACATTTGTTTTTACATTTTTTAGGGAAAATATACTCGTATTAATTAAAAATATACTAATTATTTTCTGTAGTTTTTTATTTTCAACATTTTGGCAAAACAATTTTAGATTCTGAGCGGAGTAAGGAATGTATTGGTATTAAATTTTTTTTTTTTTTTATCTGTGAACAAATTTTCTACCAGCAATTTTGCTCCGATTTATAGTGACAGCAGTTTTTTTTAAAGGAAATCTGACTGGGGAGGTATTCTAGACAGGTTATTTTTCGATTTTCCCAAAATTTTTCTCAACAAATGTGAAAAACCGGGGAAAAGCATCACTATCAATTGTATTCCGCTCAGAATCAATTTTTCATTAACAATGGTTTATCGTTGCTTAGAGATATACATTAAATTTCCTTCTGTATCCTATCTTCTCAACTTCCCATCTACAATAGTGGCTGCAACTACATGCAAAGTGTATGTTAGTATTTTTTTGATTGATTTTGTGCGAACATCGTTTTTTTCATACGAGATGAAAAATTCTACGCAAATATAAAACATACAGGACATGGATATTTATGATAGTCTACAATATCTTTTTAAATTAACCAGAATATATATTATTAATTCATTACGTCAGTACGATGTGTCTTGTACGCATAATGCGCCACACTTAGTTTCTTTGAAATTTTTGATAGAAGAATTATTTTTTAGGTGTCTTTTAGTATTCATCGACATTATCGTTAAGCTTGGCCCTGACAAGGGCCTTTTGTTACACTGACTGTATTTGGTAGGATTGATCGACGGAAATTGTATTCTATGTTACTTTTCGTAGATCATTTGTCATTTACAATAATCGCTGATTCCAGAGACGTCATGTGTGGGTTCAAATTATGCCCCCACCTACCTTGGAAAATTCGGAAAACTCTCAACTAACTGAGGTAGGAAGAACTAAAGAAAATTTAAGTAAATGGGGAATGATAGACGATACGGAATGTGAATGGATAACAAACAGCAAGCCATCTACTTAAGCGTATATTGGCACCTAAAAGATGTGAAATGAAAGTCCTCATGATGGCTTATTGAGCTGTAACAGAAATCATAGATGGAGTAATAAGAATCATTGAATATAGGGGAAAAGGAAGAATTTTAATCTAATAAGAAACACTGACCGACACGAGGAGAAGAAAAAGAAGAAGAAGATTATAATTTACGGACCTGAACTTTTTTTTCGATGTCTTCTCCTTGATTTTGGGAAGTAGTCTGAAATCGCCCGACAAATGCTCTGCCGTCCGTATCGGAACTGTGAATAAATATCACCTGCGCATATAAAGGTACCATTTTTTTTTTTACAAATCTTATAAAGTTACCCATATTGTTTATATAATGTATAATATATATAATTATTTATTTAACATAGTTACCTTTAAATAGTTGAAATATTTGAGCAATTCGACCCACACTTCGGCTTGATGTGAATAGGGTGGCACGGTACGGAGGAACGATACGTGAATGTTCTGCAAACAAATATGATTTTGAACATGGCAATAAGACTGAAGAAGTACACCAAATGTAAGTTATTTTAAGAGGCCGTAAACAGAAACAAATTTCGGGTAGACCATACATTTTTTTGTCAGCCGATGTGATGACCTGCAATCATGGGCGCCCGGAGGGGGGGGGGGGGCAAAACGGATCATCTGAATTCCCCTGGAATTTAAAATTTCAGATATAATTGTATTTTAAGTATTTTTGATGTTTGATTTTATAATACCCCTCTCTGATAAATTTCCTGCGGGCGCCCATGACTACAATTAATCTCTTCTCGCTTGTTAAATTAGACGCTAATCAAAATTGGGTAAATTAACTAATTATTTAGTGAGTTTAAGGTAAGATTTCCTCCCCTTTCCAAGAAAAAAACTAAGCTTAGCTACTTAAAGTTAGTTTATAAATATAAATGAATTTGAATAACTATAAGATATTATTTAGATAAGAAATTTTCAGAAAAATATTAATTTAAGTTAGATACGAAAAAAGTTACCTTATGGTTACCTTAAAAGTTACCTACCCTTAAATACAATCAGTGTTATAATTACGAGGGGATAAGAGTATCCAACCCCCCTACCTAGAGTAGTGCACACATGTAATTAAATTTAAATAATTATGATAGTAGCGATGATAATAAAATATTTTAACTGCCTATTTGCCTATAATAAAGACGGAGGTGATAGGTGTGTATTTTTATTTTTCGTGATACTTACACAAAGTGTGTTGTAATACAAACAAAAAAATTATTCCTAGCTTTTTGACAAGTTACTGCCCAGCTTTGACACTAGAGCATATTTGTTGTACATGGATCCCCTTTCCCCAATTACGGTCCTGTGCATAATAATGTTATTGTATATCGTTACTTTATCAGAAAACGCTGAATCTCTGGACGATATACCGATGACGGGTATATGATAAAAGCCACTCGTGTACGACACGGCGGCCGGAGACAGGTCGCCGATTTGTGGATGAGACACAATGACGGCGTATACTCGGCGTACGATGAGCTGTTTGCAAACGTTCAGAGCGGTTTTAATCGGATTCGGATCCATTTTTATGGAGTGAGCATAAAAAGTATTGCCGGGTTTCATGAACGGCGTATTGAAATTGAGATGCTACAAAATATTACAATTATAAATTTAGATGGTTAAGAATAGTTAAACAATTGCACAGATACATAATCAGATACATATCTTATATTTTGGATCAAGACACTTTTTACTATGGGATCTTGTATCTTTCTGTGCTAAAAGATACAAGATAGGTACTTAATTATTTGTCGGTACAACATTGACGGTAGTGGCGTGCGCAGAAGGGATGGTAGGGATTATATCCCCCATTGACTTAAAATATAAAAAAAATATGAGTAATCTAATGTCTAAATATATTTATTTCAGCCAAGTTACAAAGAAAAATTTAACAAATTGATTAGAAATTGGCTTTTTTGGGATCCGGCTTTTAAATCACCATTTTCCACAATCAATTTGGGTAGAGAAGATAAATTTATAATTTATTCATGATTCTTATTTGCTACATCTCTTCCTATTGATAACTCCTGGGCACACCACTGATTGACGGATAATTGTAATAAAATGTGTACTTTTATATAATGACAGAGATATGAAAATCCAAAAATCCATATAAATTATCAGTCTTTTATTATTTGATAATATTGAAAAAAATAATATTACAGCAATATTGACATAATATAAAATTGTAGATTCTGAGCGGAGTGAGGAATTATGTATTAGTTTTACAATATTGTTTATTATTTATTTTTTTTCTGTAAACAACTTTTTTTACCAAAGATTTTACTCTGATTTTCAATTATACCACTTCTTCTAATAGGCAATCTTACTGGGGTGATTATTTTTTGATTTTAACAGCTCTTTTTATAATAAATGAGAAAAACTGGAAAAAAATGTATAGGAAACGGGAAAATAGGTACAATGTTAAATAAATATTATTAAAGAAATTATGTAATGCATATGTAATTATTTTACCATATTATGACATATGTATTATTGACAAAAGAACATTATTAACCGAACTCCGCTTAGAATCGTTTTTCGTTAGCAATGGTTAATCGTTGTGTACAGATATAGGTTAAATTTTCCCTCTATCTTCCCAACTTATCACCTACAATAGTGACCCACCCATCGTGAGAAGTATGCCCGTATCTTTTTAGTAGTAAAACGAATCACTAAATCTTGAAATAATAATATAAATAAATAATTAAATAGTATAAAAAGTACATATTTATTAAATCATTACCAATATTGCAGTAATGTTCATCAATATGAAAATAAAATTTATATAATGAAAAACCTTTAAAAGGTTGATCGTGTACAAAAATATTTTTAAGATTAATTTTTTTTAAGGGCAAGTAAAAGACGAACATACTTCGCTCGTAAGTAAGCCACTGTTGTAGGTTAGAAGTTGGGAAGGTAACAGAGGGAGAATTTAATGTATACCTGTAAGCAACGATAAACCATTGTTATATAACAAAAAACGATTCTGAGCGGAGTTCAGTTAAAAGTGTTGCTTTATCAACAATATATATGTCATATTATGGTAAAATAATTACATAGGAACTATATATTTTCTTTAATAATATTTCCTATGTCTTTCCCATGTTTTCCCCGGTGTGTCCCATTTATTAGATAAACTCCTGGGAAAATCAAAAAATGACCTCCCTAAAGTATCTTCCCAGTCAGATTTCCTTACAGAAAAAATGCTATCATTGTGAATAGGAGCAAAATATCTTGTAGAAAAAATTGTCCACAGAAAAAAAATCATTGTAAAACCATAAGTTTCTTCATTCCACTCTAAAGTGGTTGTGGGTGCCTGGGTGTTCAATGATATAACAAAAATTATTATGTTTTTATAAAATAAAAATTACTTAAAGAATTTTAAACTGCAGACATTTAATACATTTTATGAATTTTATTCAATACATTTATAGTTGGGTGGAAAATTAAATCAATGATTTAGGATAAAAATACTTCGAGCCGCCACTGATCATAGGTTGCTATAGGTATACAAAATAGGTAACAGAATAACCATGGATTAACGATGAATTATGAAAATTAAAAAAATTTAAAGTACTTATCTTTTATAATTTATGTATGTTTGGTAGTTGTATATTTTCTAGTTCTGTATTGTAGTTTGTATCAAAATACATAAAATTAATATACTTTGTAAACCATATACCTATATACCTTTTTTTTTTAGTACCTTAGCCAATCTGTAGGTAAATACACTTTTATGAATAGAGTATGTACGTACTTCGATCGTTTGTTTGAAAAAACTTTCACTTTTGTTGCTGCTCAAAACTCCACCGATGTGATATTCGTACGGATTGTTGTCGGTGTTCTCCTTTTCCGAGTGCTCCGCGCTAATGCGATTATTGTTATCGAGCACGAAAAACAAACCAAAAAACAACACCGAAAAAACACTCGAAACTATCTTACTCATCATGGTGTTAAATTTATTAGGTAAATGTCGATACCTTAAACGCGTTTACAAAAACAAAGAATTGAATTGACGAAACTCGCGAACAAAGAAGAATGTTATTGTACCTAAACTTGGAAATTTTCAATTTTTTAAAAAAAAAAATCTGTCCACTTTTGTTTCATCATTATAATACCTGTATATTACTACGTAGATAATACTATTTTGAACATAATATTGTAATAACAAGTGTTATAGACGTATACACATGAATCGATTAGGTACCTACATTATTACAATGCACTCGTACCGTGTGAACTCACGAATAGAACGAAACAAAAAAAGTGTAATAGTATTGTATACATATATATGGACCACAGGGCGCACAGAGCATGCTTGAGAAAGACCGTGTAGCCATGGCGACAGCATACTTTCCCGTGGCACCGGATATATTGATCAGATCACAGTGTACGGTATGGCCATACGATCAAAACTTAATAACCGAAATTCGCACTCCTGCACACGTCTAACTGTGAAACAGTCATCGCAGCAATATATAAAGTATATACACTGCGCAATAGTTTTAAATTCTGAGCGGAGCGAGGAATGTATTGGTTTTACAATAATGTTTATTTAATTTATTTTTTTCGTTGTGTGCCTATATTTTTTCTACCAGCAATTTTGCTCAGATTTTTCCCATGAATGGGCAATATCAGGAAAAACGGTACAATTTTAAACAAATATTATTAAAGAAAATATATAATGCATATTATGTAAACCATGTTCAACCATAATGTGACATGTATATACTGTTGACAAAGCAACACTATCAATCGAACCCCAGTCAAAATCGTTTTTGCGTTAGCAACAATTAATGGTTGCTTACAGATACACATCAAATTACCTATAACAGTGACTGCACCCTTTCTCATTATCCTAGGACCGCTTTTTAATAATAAAATTCCAATATATGCCTACCTACTAACCAATGGTTAAGTATATAATGGGAACAATATTCCTCCCATTTTATTGAATATATTTAAAAAATAATTTACCCACGAAGAAATATGCTCGAAATGTCGTCATCTGAGAATGAAAAGGTTCTGGGTTAAGGCCTTGAGGTTCACTATTTTTAAATCGTTCAGGAGAAGCATTTTAGTATTTTAAAATTTATATTTGATACCAAAATCTATATGTATTGCCAAACAGGTTCTCCTAGGAGAACCTTTTCAAAGTAAGCACTGTATAAATAGAATCTTCTCAAAATGACCATTTTATGACAGAACATTTTTTGTAGTAATTTTTTTGTATTGTTGTAGTCTTATTGTATCCATAATATTATATTGTACAACTTACTGTTAAGCGGAAGTGTCACTCGCATGTGTTGTTGTCTCCGCTTACAAAAGTACGACAGAAAATTTGGGTTTAGCAGGGACAGCTTTATGCTGTTAATTTTAATAGTTTTTAAAGTGAATTAACCTAAAGAAGGAGTTATTTTTTCATTAGATTAATTTTCAAAAGATATGGTACCTAAGTGAAAAATTAAAATTGATTAATAAATATATCTTGTTTGAAAATTAAAATAACGAACAAATAGTGCTAACATTACACAGAAAATATTCTTGAATTGAGGAAAAAAAGCCCTGTACTAAACCATATTGGGGAAAAAAATAATTGGAAAAAAGCCCCGTTGTAAATGAATGCTTATTTAAAAATACTATGTTTTTAAATTATTGAACTAATAAATTTAAATAACAAAGGTAATTATTTATAAGAGGATTCTACATAAGATTTACATTTATTTCTAAAATTTCTTAATTAGCTAAAATTAATTAAAAAATTTAGTGATAGGCAAATAAATACCAAGACTTGGTTACAGTGGCGTAGTGGAAGGGGGATTTGTATTAATCAAACACCCCCCCTTTGACTATATTTATGCCAAAAATTATAATTCAGATTTCTACAAGATGTGTTGTGTAACGTAAAGATAATTATGAAGTATATGTTATGTGTGTTACATGCACACAATAGTTACAAAGTTACATATAAACATAAAATAAAAACACCCCTTTAAAAAAAATCCAGGCTACGCCACTGATTGGTTATTATAAGACTTGCTGTTGGTCTTGCCCACAAACATAAGTCTTGGTCTTGCTACAAGACTCTTGATTTATTTTACTAAGTACATAAACAAATTAAATAGAAACATATTGTAAGGCTAAGATTGAATGGGATTTTTTGACATCTAATGTTTAACTTTACAAGTATAATATATATATATAAATATATATTTGAGACTCAGAGATAACACTCTACCTATAATTTTAGTAATGTACTTTATAATTATGATGTTAGTAAATTATTTATTTATTCTAATTATTTACGGGCATTGAGTTCAATTACAGCATGTAGTTTTAAAGCTAAAACATACAGGAATGAAAAAAAAAAAAAAATTATAAAATAAAAGACGTCCTAAGGTAATGGGTCGAGTGCAGCCACTGTTACAGGTAATTTAATGTACACCTGTAAGCAACGATAAACTACTGCTAACGAAAAAACAATTCTGAGCGGATTTCAGTTGATAGTGCTGCTTTACAAACAATATACAGAGTGATCAATCTATCGTAAGACACTCGTTATCTCGGAAAGTAAATCTTCAAATCTATATTTAAAATTCCATAAATAGATGAAAGATGAGTTAAAATAAATTTTGGTGTTGAAATTTTTGATTTCTGTCAATCAGTTGACGACATATTCTACTTTTAAGTTTGGGTTGGATAATAGTGGTGGTATATTATTAACATGCCGCACACCCGTACCGCCCAAATGAAACTCAACTATTCTCCTCCAACCTAAATTTAAAAGTGGAATATCTCGTCAATGGATTGACGGAAATCAAAAATGTCAACACTTATATGTATTTAAAATAATACTTCATCTATTTATGAAATTTGTAATATAGGTTGGCATATTTGAAAATCAAAAATAGGTAGTGGTTTTACCCCTAAAAATAAAATAAATATAAAATTGTAGAGCAGCTTGTTTCTTAAATGTTCTAGTAGATAAATTCAGGAAAAAGTTAATACTTTCTGAGATAATAAGTGTCTTATGACAGATTGATCACTCAATATGTTATATTATGGTAAAATTTCAATTATTCCAATTCCATATTAAAATGTATTCCGTTTTACCACATTTATTGAGAAAACTCCTAAGCAAATCTAAAAATGACCTCTTTAAAGTACCTCCCCAGTGAAATTTCCCTTTAAAAAAATTGCTATCATAATAAGTTAGAGTAAAATTGGTGATAAAAAAGTTGTTCACAGAAACAAAATGATAATTTTATACTAATACATTTCGTACATTTTACCGTTTTTCGCATTAGATGAGAAAACAGAAAAACGACCTCCCTACAGTACTTCCCCACACCGATTTTATTTCAGAAAAAGTGCTGCACATAAAAATCGGAGCAAGATCTCTGGTAGAAAAGTTATCCACAAAAAATAAACATCTTTATAAAACTACAAGCATTTTCGCTCCACTCAGAATCTAAAAAATGTATAGTGAAATCTCCTCTAACTAACCTCCCAAGAGCGGACGATTTTTTAAAAACGGGAATATTTTGACTTTTTCAATGGAAAAACCTCCACTATTTTAATCTTAATTAAAAAATTGTGACAAAATGACGATAGTACGGTGCCAAAACGCATTCGCATTAGTATGTACACTCGTAATAATGTACCTAATAATGAACTCGATTAAATTGTTAATAGCGGACACTTATAATTACAATGGATTATTATTAAAAATAATGACAAAACGGCAAACCAAACATAATTACGTTTAACGATAATGATTCATGAATTCATTCAACAAACTCGTTATTAAACGATATGATAAGAATATGACGACTAACGACGAAAATTATGTCTTGACTGCCAACGTTTGAACGTTTCGTTTGTTTTGTTTTTGTTAGTCAGTAAAGGTACGTTTTACCTTGCGCGATCGCGGTTGGCGATATAAATTTGTTCCGACTGTTGAACTGATTGCTTTTGGAGCATTAAAATTGCGATCGACTAGTTGTTTTGAAAATAATAAATAATATTTAATTGTAAACTGATATTTAAATTTAAATCTAGTTATCTATAGTTCTATTTTATAATTGAGCTGTGGGGATGTCCACATTGATATAAGCCGCGTTATGTCAAATAATATGCAATATGATAGATTCTCATTTATGAACGACCATTCGTTGACATCGGTCGTTCAACGGTAAACTTGAGTTCTGCAATGGCCCAAGTTTAATAAATTCGAAGACGATGTTTAATCATCACTTATTAGATTCAAAATAAAATCGGACTGATTGCGGTTTATAATAAAAAATTCCATGAACTTGATTTATATTATTTTTTAGATGGCCATTGATAAGTATTTCATGATAACCTTCGGTACTTCTCTTTATAAATAATGGATCATGCCCTTTTTTTTTTCTTCTGACAGATACCAGAGCAAAACCAAAAATTAGGGCATGGATGTTGTAACATTTGAAACTTTTTCTACCTTTTCAATTTATTGCCAAGTAAGTTTTAAATATGTTTCATGCAAGTAAGAATACAAATCTAGAAGTTTTAAATACAATGTTTTCCAATTTTTCCAATTTTATTGCCATTTTGTTGAATTTACTCATTTACACAACTATTTTAGCTATAGTCAACACTCGACAATCGTATAGTTAAGATTATACTGTAATATTGCCAGCCAATAAAATCTAATAATGGTATTTTTATTTTGATAATTCCAAGTTAATAAGTATTCAATACAATACAAAAATAATTTGTGAAATGCGACTGTTTAACAGTTATAATCTGTTCTTAAGTTACTCCGTGAATTTTGAGTGATCGTGTTCTGTTATTGTTTTGTAAATATGCTGAAAATTAAGCAGACTATTTCCATTTTTGTAAAAAAAATTGTTGGTTTTTAGTACAATTTTCAGTATTTTTGAGTGCAATACTGCAATCAATTTCAATAATTTTTTACTACTACAATATCCGTACTCTACTCATCATCATCTTCTTCTGCTAGTAAAAGAATTTTCAAGATTTCTGTATCTTATAAGTCCACACTAATAATTTTTTTGAACGAGCAATGCCTACGCGTGGACTTAGCACTTCGAAGTATTGAGTACGACTGAATGTTAAATTATTTATATTTCATTATATAAATCTCTGGATCGCAACATAGAATTGTCTAGAATAAACCAAGACGCCGCGTTCGCGATCACGCAGGGGAGAAAACGTACCTTAATTTACTTTTCGACAAGTGACGAATAAGTACGACTGCGATGAGTAGGTTAAAGCGAAAGAGGTTGTCGCTTCGAGGAAAAATCGGAATTTTCGACTTCTGTTAAAAAAACAGAAACGTAGGAGTTCGTTTTCATTTTACATATTATTCTTTATGAATTTCAAAAATTTACTCCTCTGAATAACGGACACTTCCGAAGAGTGAACAAAGTTTCGGCGACCAAGGGTGTCCGCTAATCAGAGGTTTCACTGTATAGAGAAGTAAATATAAATATATGTATAACTATGCTTAAATAATAATAAAGCTGGTAGTAATTTAAGTTTAAAAATTATAATTGATTAGGTAAAATTAAAAAAGAAGTGTTATAGTTAGCAAGGGACATATAACGCACTAAAAGTTTATTTGAACCATAGATCGTAGTGGATGAAAGAATGTAAAATAGATATGAGTGGCATATAAGTATATCATACGAGGAAGGACTTTGAATGATATAGATGAAAAGAGGAAAATCAATATCACCAGGTATAAACTTAGACAAAAACTTAAGGTTGGTATGATGTCTCTTGTCAGCTAAAGAGGTTTTTATGAATGGGTGTGTAATCATGGGAGGATAATTAATATTTAGGTAGCCGGAACTGATAAAGTTTATACATTTACGCTGAACAAATTAGGTCAAAATCCGAGTTGAACCCGAGTCTTGAAAGCTTTACAACAAACAGTCTCGATCAGTAAACAAGGATTCAAGGTGGTAGTAAACACAAAACTCAAGTCGGTAACTGATTTATCAAGGAAGAAGATAGTTTTTCCATCAATGTTATAACCATAGTTAATAGGTGAATTTCTACGATAAGTGAAAGTCACATTTAGAAATATTAAGATAATTCAAGTTTGTATGCCCATGATGTAAGATAGTCTAAGTCACCTTGAAGTTCAAGGCAATCATTTAATTAATTTATACACAAAAATATTTTCATATCATCCGCAAAGATTTGTGTGTTGCAGTATATGATTTGCATTATTAACAAAAAAATGGATAAAATAAGTAAGAAAATATTCCCTCCTTGTGGAACACCGGAAGTAACTGTAAAAGTATCTGAAACTACTCCATGAATTTTCACCCACAGCTTCTTATTGTGGATAAATGAATTAGGTCCTCAGTTTTAGGCAGTTGTAATAATATATACCTACCTTGTACCTAATTATAAGAACTCTATGGACCAACTGTTCAATTTATTTAAATACAAAAGCTGTATTAATAAATTATGATTTGTATATAACCTGATCTCCCACATCAACCTCTCATACATCCACCATCATAATATTGTTCTCAATCACATTCAACAACCTCTTTTTCATTCTTCCTCTTTTCCTATTATATTTATTTTCATTACCATTCTTTCTGCATTCAATTCTTCGCTCCTCGTGATATATCCAAACCTTCTCAGCCTATTATCTTTTATTTTGTCACAGTTCATATTTTCTACAGTTTTAACAAAAATATGCGTGTGTAATAAGAAACAAATATAATAATATTAACACACACACATATATATAAATATTTCACTTAGTGTTTTATACTTATAACTTTGATCATAGTTTTGTTAAAATATAAAAATATATATTTTGAAAAAGTTATTCGAATCGACTGATAGAAAACTGCGGTCCACGGTTGATTATATAATAAGTATATTGATGAGCACTCAGCCAAATTTTAATTCTAAATTGTTACATATGGTATGAATACAACTTTAAAAATCTTAAACTTAACAAAAATAAACGAGAAAAATATAAAATTTCATTATTTGGATTTGTAAGGGTATTATAATATATAAATGTGTTGCTATTAAATTGTTTGGATTATAACACTTAACTCAGTCATATTTAGGTTATATAAAAAAGATAAAATATTATTTGATACAGACCCTCTATTAGGGATACTGTTTTGTTTTATTTTGTAAAAGTAGAGTTTAACAGTCTATCTCTTATACAGTTGGTAATACATAAATATTATGCAGTAAAAATCAAAATTCTTATTCATAATAATACTTAAAAATTACCTTATACAAATAAATATATTTTTTTTAAAGTCTTGTATATCTAGTAATTCTTTTTAATTCTATAAGTCTATTAGTGATCAAAAATCAGTATGTACCTGTAGGAATATATATATAAAAAAATAAAGACATACTTCGCATGATGGATAGCCCACTGTTGTAGGTGAAAAGGTAGGATACTGAGAGGAATTGATGGTATGTCTGTACGCAATGATTAATCGTTGCCAACAAAAAATGATTCTGAGCGGAGTTTGGTTATACCTGTTTTGAAAGGCTGTAATATTTACGATTTGAAATTAATACAGTTTATAAATTTCCTCTTTTTTCCATTTATTATAAAAAGACCTAGGAAAATAAAAAATGATCTTTCTAAAGTACAAATTCGGTCAAGTTTCTCTTTAGAAAAAGTGCTATGCTTGAAAATTAGAACAAAATCTCTGGTAGAAAATTTGTTCATAGAAAAAAATAAAATAAAATAATAAACATCATTGTAAAACCAATAAATTCCTCGCTCTGCTCAGAATTCAAAACTACATTTCAATAAATAAAACTACAAAGATAATAATATCAATACTAGTTAAATTTTAATAACAAACTATTTTATAATAGATCTTGTTTTCTGAGCTATTTGATACTAAGAAAAAATAATCACCCAAATAGACAATATATAAATCCAGAGAAACACTATTTTTGATAGTATTTATGTAATAAAAAAAATCTGTAATCAAAATACTAATTAAAAAACTTATTGGTTATACTCCTGCCATTACGGTTAACCACATATTATTGATGTTAAAGAGTTCTAATTATTGTAATAATATCATAACAATGTCAATTTATAAATCCAGTTTTAAGCAGCAGGATAATAACTGATAAATACTAAATATTTTTTTGTTTTGAATTATAAATAATATTAAAAATTTTGTAGTTGTACTCAACTTCATTTTAACTTTTACTTAATAGTTATTCACATAGGACATGATTATTATCATTAAAATTAATTATTTTATAATTTTAAATTAGTTTTTAACTAACTAAACATTCAAAATTATAACTATTTTTATAATTTCAAGCTTATACAATATACTTAAAATTATCATAGTGCATTATGTAATTTAATTTTGGTAAGTTCATGTACAACAGTATGTAAATATTTTTTTTTAGATCTAGGATTAATGTACATGACGAAATTTGAGCACACAAGCGAAATAAAAAAGCACAAATAGTGCAACTTAAAAAATACGAATAAATAATTTTAAAAAACTCAATCCCGTTAAATTGTTCGGCATCTGAATACTCTAGCAACCCAAATAACCTTACTCATAACGGCTGTTTTGTAATTTACCATTACATGTAAAAAATTTTTTTTACAAAATTCAACAAATTGTATGGTAATAAATTATAGGAATCTTAATTTGTTAAAAATGAATATGCATAAAAACATCTAAGTATACTGAATGTTCCAGAAGTCCTGTGCCATCCTGATTATCATTGTTGAAACTCAATAAATCTAAATGCAGTTTTTTTGGCAGTAGTCTGTGAAAAAATTTCAATTTAATGGTATACATTAAAAAAAAAATTGTTTATGCAATTTAGTTTTAAAAGTTCACAAGAATGTCATTTTTTCGGCGAATTAAAAAAAAAAAAATTAAAATTGAATGGAAAAATTATTAAGTTTGAGCAGATTAAGTTTTTTATTTCATGAACATAATAGTATTTAGTAAAAACAAAAGACTAGTAACATTTGTCGAAATAATGTCTTTTGTAAATAGTAATTCTCTTGAAATAAAAAACATAATCTATTCAAACCTAGTTAATTTTCACTCAATTTTTTTTTTTTTTTTTTTAATTTGCCGAAATAATGGCATTCTTGAAAACTTTCAAAACTAAATTGCAATAACATTTTTATTTTTATTTTTAATGTATACTATTAAATTGGAATTTTTTTTACAGGCTAATGCTGAAAAAACTGCATTTAGATACATTGATTTTTAATGGAGATAATCAGGGTGGTATGGGACTTCAGGTATATAAATATCTAAGTCTCAAAATGTCCGCATAAAGTAAACATAATAAAAGTAGTGATTTGGTCATAACAAAAATATAAGCCAACTAAACAAAAAAATATATTATATGGCACAACAATAGTAACAATTTATGACTTAATACCATTACCACACAAAATTGGTTTTATTTAAATTTTTTTTCCCAAACTATTAATAAAATTAATTAATATATTTAATTTGTTATTAAATAAACAAATTATTTTATTCATTCTATAATTAAATTTAAATATATTATTAAGAAAACATGAATTATTTATTACCTAATCAGAAAATCTATAAAATTGAACAAGTTCAAAATATTATCCAATAGGTATATATTATAAATATTATAAAGTATTTAATAGAAGTGAAATAATGTTTACCTTAATTCATTATTCTCTAAATGACTTTTCAATATCAGGATATGTTTATTTTTTTTTTTAAATGGACTGTGTTTGTGCAGTAATGGATAGCATTATAAATAATAATTTTAACTATTCCTTAGATTTATGAATATATTATAGTGACCAGTTATATATATCTTCATATCTTTTAATGCATCTGTTTCCGGTGAAAAATTCACTAACCCCTTTTCTTACTGTTTCTTCATCTAGAAAATTCAAGTTTTAAATTAAATATCAATTATAAATCAATTACATAAATATAATATTATACGTATCTAATATTATATAATAATGAAAAGGAAATGTTTGAGTATGTATTTGTGGACAAATTGAGGTCCTACAACAACTTAAAGCTTGCAGATTTATTAAATTTCAGTTTTTACCAATATGAGTTCACCATACTAAAATTTAAAGAGGGAAATTTGAAAATTAATTTGATTTTTTCTGGTTTCCATCGGTTACCTGAATGAAAAATTACAAAGAAATAGTTACTAATTCAGTTATAAGAATAAAAACGTTTTTACAGATAGGTATGAGGCACGGTTCTCATATTATTATATTTTTATATTAGATATAATAATTTGGTTGTCAAAAACATTGCTTGTTATGGCGGGGCCACATAATGATTAAGTAATATTGCGGGCAAAGATGTATAGGTTTCAAGTGGGAAAGTACGCCATTGGCCTGAAAAATGATGTATCTAATTTTAATTTTTTTCATTGGGAACCGTTGACAATTTATACATTGTCCGATCATTGACATCAGTGTCTAGTTAAAGTCGAATAATATGAAATTGTTTGTTAGTTTAATATTATGCCTCAAACTGGAAAGTTAAGTGCTATGTAATTTGCATGTTATACTAAAATTATTAAACTAATATTTCATAATCTGTTTGAATATTGATATCAAAAGTATATAAAATTGGGAGAATGTAATTAGGTGATAAAAATATTATCAAAAATAAAAATAAGTACGACAATATCTTTAGTTCAATACGAATACAACAAAAGAATTAAAAGGGTGATGAAATTGAAAACGGGAACACACAAAACAACGAATAACGAATTACTCGTGCGTAAATGCGATGTCATGATGATTAGCGGAGAAGAAAAATTAATACAACTAATTGAAAATGACTGGTATTATCACAATAGAGAAACCCCAGTCGGAAAAGAATATCGAATCATTATCTAATGATGAAATCTCAAACGCGTTCCTGAGGGGAGGAGGGAAGAGCGGGGCGATCGCCCCCTTCCCCATAAGCCGTGTGATATTCTTTTCTGTCATACAAAATATCCTTAATTTTTAAATACAAATAAGTACAAATGCAACTGGATCCAAATGCCATACAGATAGATTCCGGATCTTGGAAATACTTTAATTGAAACAAGAATGTTACACTTCTAATTTATACATTTCAATAAAAATTCTCTCAAGGGTGAGATAGAATAATGGAAAACTATAAGGGAACAGTCAATATGCAAATATATATTAAAATTATATATTTTTAGAATCAAAATTGGAAATGATTAGTTAAATTTAAATTTTAGAATGTTAGATCCTATAGTATTTACAATGATGTTTTTTTTTCACAAAAATGTTTACCAGAAATCTTGCTTCAATACATAAGAGTGTAGCACTGTTTTGAAAGAAAATATTGTCAATATGAATAAATGGTACTTTAAAAAGGTTATGTTTTGATTATCTAAGCAATTTTCATAATATCAGGAAAACCCACGATAAAACCTAATAAAAACAGGAAAATTTACGAAAATAATGCTTTTATTATTTTCAATTTTACTTTTTATCGTAATTCAGTTAAAAATATTAGACAGAAAACTTATATTTGCTTTTTTTTTTTTTTTAAATTTGTGAGCAATTTATAAACGTTTTAATTTCTGTGAGATTTGTATGTAATTTTTATTTGATAGGTACTCTATCTATAAAATTGTTAGACCAAACCCGTGGCGGCACCAGGAACGGGCCAGGTAGGGCCATGGCCCTACCACTGGCCTGACCTTTTGACATAATAATATAAAAATATTATAATAATTTTACATAAGTAGAAAATAATATTATTTTTTTACCATATGTAACTTTAATATACTACTATATTATATTAAATGATAATTGAGTCACCCAATTACAAAAAGTCGTATATCCAATTTCAGCCGAAATCGATATTATGTCATTTTTTTTTTTTTTATTGTTACTTAATTATAGTCCATCATCCTTTATTTGTATAAATTTCTAAGTTCCAAAACGTAGTATAGCATATTTAATTTTTGAAAATTAATTTAAAATATTTAGTTTGCTTTCAACTAATCGTTTCTATTTTAAAAATAAGAAAATGTATTATAATTTTATTTGGATTTCCTAAAAGTTTTAAGACTAAATGTTCCTATTTATTATTCCTACATTTCTATGTTGATTTTTATGTAACCAAGTTCAGCTATACTATTTCAGAATGTAATACGAGAGTCCATTTAAATTGGTGAGATGATAGAATTCATTATTATAGTTATTATATATGATCAATATATTTCTATATTTAGTTGTTGAGATACTTTTGTCTGTAATACACATCTATACATTTATGATTCATAGATACTTATATTGAATATGTTTTATGATGAATATATAATATATATATATAAATATATTTAATAATTTACCTATTTGGACTATCTGTAGTGTATTTTTTTTTTTTTGTTAAAATCTCATATTTTCGTGGCCCTACTTTATAATTGTTGGCCTCTTTTGGCCTTACCTAAAAAAAATCTTAGCACCGCACAGACATGTGTGAAAGCTTTTTAATATAAATCATTAATAAACATATTTGTTGCATATATATTTTATGCAGCAAAAACTAAAATTGAATGTACTAAAATGTTCATATAGATTAAACCATTTTTAGTTAGGTTAAATTAAAGAATTAACATTTTCTTGTTGTGACTGATAAAAATTCATGGAGTTTTCATGGCAATATGAAGGAAACTTGGAATATAATTAATGAATCTACAGGCAGGAAAAATAATAGTTATATCCCTATTAATCAAATATACAATTATAATAATAATAATAATACAATCATTAATGATACATTTGAAATAGCTAGTGAATTCAATAATTATATCAGTACAGTTGGTATAAATATTGCTAAACAAAATGATAATGGATATATGAAATTAAATCATACTGAACTACAGGTCGGCGGCCATATTAATCATTCTATATTTATTTTTCCATGTGATGTGAAAGATATAATAAAATATATCTCAAGGTTAAAGTGCTCGACAACTTTTTATTAACATAAACTTTCAAACGAGGTATTGAAAAAAAACCGCTAAGTATATTTCAATTTCATTAGCCATTATTTTAAATCTAGCAATTAGTAGAGGTATCTTTCCTCAATATTTTAAAAAAATGTTAAACAAAAACTTAAACAAAAATGGTCACAAAAAAAACTGCAGCAATTATAGACCAATCTCTTTAACTTTATCCATTGCCAAAATATTTAAAAAAATGCCTAAAAGATAAGCTATTAGATTTTTTAAAAAAACTTATTTTTTTTTTCAAACAACCAATTTGGTTTCAGAACAGGAAGATCTACAACATACGCAATAATTTATCTTTCTAACTTTGTATATACAAGTTTGCATAATAATAGAAAAATACTTGGAATTTTTTTAGATTTAAAAAAGGATTTAATTTAGTTGATCATTAAATTTTGATTAATAAATTAGAGTGTTATAGTATCAGAGAAAAAGCTCTTAATTTATTTACTTCATACCTAACTAATAAATCTCAGGTAGTGAAAATCAATGATGTATATAGTAATTCTTTAATAGCAAAACTTTATGTCCCTCTAGGTAAGGTCCTTGGCCCAATTCTATTTATTATTTACATCAATAACTTATTAAATCTTAAAATAAATGGATTTATTATTTTATATGCTGACAATATTGTTATTTTGTGTAAAGCAAAAAGTGTAAATGAATTGTTTACTTTGTGTCTAAAAATAGCTAAAACTTGGTTGAATAATAATATGCTACAGCTTAACTTAAATATATCTAAGTATATGTATTTTTGTTTGTCAAATGCAACACTTAATTTTACAAAACTACTAATTATACATAGATTTGACTGTTTAAATTTAGACAAGAACTGTTCATGCATAGGCATTCAAAATTTTAGCTCAATTAAGTATCTGGGAGTAATAGTTGACGAAAAATGTAAATAGTCCTATCTAATTCAGCATATAACTGCAATAATTAGAAAACCATTTTATGTTTTTAAAAACTTAAGACAAATTCTGAGTCCTTTGATATTAAAAACACTCTATTTTTCACTTGCACAATAAATATTTATTTAGGGTATAAAGATCTGGGACAGAACATATAATACTCATCTCAAGAATCTACAAATTGCAATGCATGGATTAATAAAGATAATTTTACATAAGCCAAGGTTATATCCTACACTAAACTTGTTTAATGAATTTAGAGTATTGAATTTAAAAGCACTTTATTATATGAATATATTACTACACTTTTTTAAAAATGATGTTAAGATGTTTCAACTATACCATTCTTACGATACAAGATTAAAAACATCAAGTAACTTAAATTATATAAAAGTGAATAAACACTTTGAAAATTTAATACTGTCAATGTAGGAATAGATTTATGTAAACAATTAAATGTTGATATCATCAACATTTAAACAAAATAGGTACATATTAATTAAGTACTTATATATTATAATAAATCTAAATAATGTTAATTTCTAAGCAATTTTTCACTTTTTATTATGTTTTAAAAAACTTTATATTGTTTTACAAAAATGAAGTGTTAATTTTTGAGTTAAATTCATTATGTATGTATTATATTATTTTTTGTCTGACTTTTTGAGCTCACCCACCCCAAGGGAGGGATGTCATATATTGTATAATTTGTATATTATTTTAATCTTTTTATGACCAAATATACTATTATTATTATTAAAAAATTGTATAAATTGAAAGTGTTAACATTAAACTTATTCAATTGAAATAAACTAAACAAAAACTGAAGCATAACACAATTTATTTTAAGGCTGTCTGCTGACAAAACCAAATGATTATGAAATATGACATGTATCATTGTTACCTTTATATATAAATATAAAATCTAAAAATAAGTTTTACTCTAACTTAAATAACTAACATGTTTCATGTCAGTTAAACAGTTTAGTTTAAACTTGATATTGATTTATAACAACTTTGAAAATTCACTACAAATTTTAGCACACAAATAATTAATAATAACTTTTTAAATAAAATATTATTACCTGGGTCATATGATCGATCCATAAGTGTCTTTGAAATTATTTTAGCAAGACTCTTAAACATTCGTCTGCTAATACGTTGTTCATTATAATAAGGTGTCATAAATTGAACAACTAGTTTTACAATCCTTTTATGTGCTATAGCATGTTGTTCTTCTTCAGATAATGGATCATTGTCATAGTTATGACCTCTTCCAAATAGTAAAATAAATTTATTATTCAGTCTTGTATGTAGTTCCTGAGGTATATCTTTCATAGACCTTAGAAATTCATATTCTTTAGCAATTCGTTCACATTTTAGTTTGTCCCCTAGAATTTTACTAATTTGTTTTGGACGAATAGTACTTGGATGAACCATAATAGGTTCAGGTAATTCAGGCAATTCCTCCAAAACATTTTGATTTACAGTTTCTAACTGTACATTTATTAAATTATTTTCTAATCTAGGAGACTCAACTTCAGGTGAATCTTGAAGATCCCTCAATAATAAATTTATACTTAATAAATCATTTGTATTGGAACTCTGTTGAGGATTTGAATTTTCAGCAAGACCAACATTAATTTCTCTAGATAGAGGAGAACTTGCTGTAGATAACATGTGATTTAAATTCTCAAAAAGCATTTCTGATTCAATTCCATTAGATTTCATAACAGAAGAACAAAGAGGTAAATTAGACTTATTCCCATTAACTGTAGCAATATGTTTAGTAAACAAACGACCAGGTTTATTACTAGTCAAATTATTATTTGTTGCAATCAAATTTTCAGTTTGTGTCGATGATGCTACCTTATTCAAATTTTGTTCGGTAGTAATTCCAACATCTACTGATTGTTTTCGCGTATTTTCTATGCCATAATATTTATTCAATAATGGTTTTTGATTTTTCGACTCAATTATTTGCTGAAGCGAAACATACAACATGGAATTCCGAGTAGATGTCTTCACTTTGCTAATCTGTTTAGAAAATAAACAATTTTATTGTATGCTACACATTATTTAAAATTAAGATTTTAGAAACTTGAATTGGTACATATATATATATATACTTGGTATTATGTGTTATGTTCACTGTTAGATTAGTCTTAAGTTATACTACTGAAACTTTACCCCTCACGGGTGTTAATTACAATAAATAAATACATTAAGTACTTGTAGATTATTACAATATTGGACCTACATTATTAACTATAGTAAGAATAATTATTTCTATAGATTTAGCTACTGTTACATCTTGAATTATATAACTATTTTTCGATCAAAATTTTCATTGATTTGTCTTAAAATTTTCTACCGGATAAGGAAAGTTGCAATACTACCAAACATATTCCAATTTTGTTTTTAGGAGTCATTATCAATTCTGAAAAATTTTCTTTGCATAAGGTAAATTAATTCTTAGTAAAAAGTTGAGAATTTGTATCCAATTTGTCACCTAGGCGATAAAAATTGCTATCCATAACTTTTAACACCATAGCAAGTAATTTATGTGCAACTTTATTGATATCCATTTCTGGAATTTTAAATTAGACCGTTTTCAAATAATATACTTGGCATTTGTCATGAATTATATTAAAATAAAAATTCTCGAACTTGATCATAGTAAAATTAATAATAAATAATCATTTTTGATTTTTGTAATAAAAATATAAGTACCTAAAATGTATTCAATTTTCGAAGTAATATTTAATAATAATTAATGTATAATATTGTAATAATATCCAAGTATAAGCAAAACAGAAAACCACACGAAAAGTAAAAATAAATAATGAAATTTCACATCAATCAACATTAATTACTTAGCCTAAGATTTACCAAATCTCATTTGTAAAAGTCCAAACTACAGAAATCGTTCAGGGTTACAATAAATTAAACTATATTGTATATTCTAGGTTTTACTGAAATTAATTGATAGATGTCCAAAATTAGTACATTCGAAATCGGAAATTCAAATATTCACCAAAAACAATAGTCGGCAAAACCTAGTTTTCACTGGTATTTTGACTTTAACCTTAACATATATTTATATATTTAGTAGTGTCAATGCATCTAAAGCATTAAATTTACTAAGTAATATTATTCTATACAATTTTTAGCTAAGTGTTATTAATTAATTTAAATTTCAAAATGCATTTTATTTAGAAAATAACTTATAAGGTAACCGAGGTATAGTGTATCATTACAATGTTAAAAACTTTCCCAAATTATCAATACTATTTAAAGATGAAAAATATCAATAAATTTAGTTAATTTTTATAATACAATTTGAAAAAATTACAAAAACAGATAAAAAAAAATATTTTAAAAACATAAACGTACCATGCTAGACATGTCCTGGCGATAAATACTAGCTAACATACACCGCTTTAAGGCTATTTTCTCCATTTCTGCCATACATATGTCCACACATTGTAGAACATGAGGATCGTGTTGTTTTTGGCACTCATTTATATTTTCCATTAATGTTTTTCGTAGATAATTCAAGTAACTATTTCGTACAAACTGACACAAAGCATCCAAGTTTTCGAAATCACTATCAAAGTCCATAGGACTTTTAGGTAAGTCAATTACCGAAAATAAAACTTTGGAAGAATAATCTTCCAGCGAATCCATTTTGTCGAAATTTAATGTCATTTTGCCTAAAAAAATAAATAAATTTATGGCAGTGCTACAATACATTAGATTTAGGTATAATTATTTTTTTATCAATAATTTAAATACCATTTAGATATTACTATAAGTACCTGATGATCTATTATTATAATATTATTTTTCTTTAAATATTTCTTGAATTGCAAAGCTATAAAGCAAAACCGATTATTCGTAATAACCGCTTTCGAGCCTGTTATCTGACGTCTGTTTTTTATTATTATTATTACTTATCGGAATAACAGCTAACCACATAAACATGATCGTCTCGAACCTCCGGCAAAACGCGATAATACTACGATAATATTGACTATAAATTAAAAAATAGTTCAAAGTTCAAGTATTTAAAACCATAGACCTAACAAATGAAATAACTAGTATTACAATGACAAACAGCGATGATGTTGAGACTTGAGGGAAAAAAATTGAATTTCACGTTCACTGAGTAAACGACGTTTTGAACTCTACTCATCCACCAATCGTATCAACCGTCATCTGCCGTCTTAACAACCAAACCAAGCACGGGAACATTGATTATATCTGTGATTAGTGATTACAATCATTATATATATATTATATATTATATAGTCGATAATAATATTGTTACTTGTGTTAACCAGGCCGACGAATAACGACTATCGACAGAGCAAAAATATGCCGGTACCAAAATTCGCCGTGTCGCCTGCTGTTCCTGTCGCTACACTTATACATGTTATCTATTACGCGGGTTGCTACAACAAACCATATCTATAGATAATATTATTATCTACATAACAGACTGCTACTATCATATTATATTATTATACTAAATCGAACATGACTATTATTACTAAGAAATTTTGAATCATAAAGTACATCTTAATGATCTATGCTCTAAATCACAAATTAAAGAATATAACATACACAACGAGAATCTGTTATTAGCAAACTATTGATTACGACGGTTCTTATTCATCGAATAAATATAGAGCACTAATAACAAATAGCGGCGAGAAGGGTATTACTGCATTTATAAATAAGAGAGAAAAAATGTTTAATTTAGATTACTAATGGAGTACTACCATGGGATATTGATACTTACACACCACTAATATAACCAGTGGTTGTTCAGTGAATGTACTTTTCAGATATCCATAATATGCATGAATATTCATATCTAAAGGATATCCAAATGTCCATTTTTTTTGTCATTTTTAGATATGCTATTTTAATATAAATTGGTTATTTGTTGAAGTTATTTATGAGATTTCTTAAATTAGCTAATTCTAATGGATAACCACAAGTTATTACTTAAATACTTCAGTAGTGGATGATAACTTGAGATATTTTTTTTAGGTATACAGGAATAAATAATAAATAATGTTTATTTAATTGTATTAAATTACTATTTTTATGAATAACAACAAATTTAACATACTATATTAATTTATTTTTTATAAAATTTAGCTTCTGCATGTCTTATCCGGTTTTGATACAAGTAATAATGTCAAACTCTTGAATTTTTGGAAACAGCATCTATATAAAAATATGAAAGATTATAATAAATTATATAGGTAAATTAATCAATTCTATAACAAACTCTTGAATTTTGAGAAACAGCAAATGTTATATAAAAATATGAAAGATTATAATAAATTATATAGGTAAATTAATCAATTCTATAACAAATTTAATTTTGATGTACATTAAATGTTTTGTTTTTGATATCTTAATAATAAAAAAAAAAAATAGAAAAGCTGTTAAAACAATTAAGCATCAATAAAATTATCTTACCAATGATTATCTTAGACAGGTATAAACATGATAAAGGTTTTTTCCTTTTGCTTCAGTCCAATTGTATGACTTAGCAAATTGATCGGTAAAAAGTTTTCTTATGTCATGACATCTTTCAGGAATGCAATTTTAATGACAATGCTACTTTTGAGTGTGTGGTATAATTTGTATTGTATTAAAATATTTTATACTGATAAATAATGTAGATTTATTTTAAGTTAACTAAATGATATCACTATTTTAATTTAATAAAACCCTAGCAAGGAAAATTAGTAAAAAAAACAAATTGTCAAATTTGTTTATCGGGCATAGAAATCCAGAAAACAGTTGTAATACAGTAACTACCCAACTAGTCAATTTAAAATGTAAAGGTTTTTTGATTCACCCTGAAAACAATTGTTTTATACTTATTAGACAAATTTATTGAGATGTCATTTTCCAAACATGCTAATAGTCAAAATATATGAAAACCTATTAAAAATCACAAAAATTACCTCCCTAAACTATGGAGATAATATTTCCTTTTAGAAAATAAGCTACAATTGATACATGGGGGAGCAAGATTTCTGGTAGAAAAGTTCTTAAAAGTCCTAGAAAACAAATTCCGGAAAAAGTTATTATCTTCAGAGATAAACCCAGATAGACTCATTTAAATGGATCACCTGTTATATAATATTATCATTAGACATTGATTATAATTACTATTTATCTTTTATAAAGTGTTTGATACACACGTCCGGCGTGCACGATATAACATGTCGAGGATGGTATCGGTATGCGATGTCACGCACAAATTCCCGTGATACCTACTCGTGCACAAATCGAACGGTTAGGTTAGGTTCTATGGTAATGTAATGGTGACGTATCTATGGTAACAATATCGCACGGGCATGGTGGTACCTGCAAGCATGGTACGATAGTTTACAAAAAACATTGTTCCCCTACCTATAACACGAAAACACATTTATGTACAGTTATATTTATTTAATGAAAAAACTACCTATGTACTTGGGGTCGGGAATACTCGGGATACCTATTCAGATGTATGATGACATGTAGCACACGACGTACAAAATGCTTGGCACAAACAGCCAATAAAAATATTATAATTTAATATAAGTACAAAATAATACAGTATTATATTAATTTTAGTTTCAGTCGAGCGTATTGAAAATATACGAGGTCTATTCAAAAAGTACCAGGATTTTATTTTTAATAATTACAAAAATGAAGTTACATATTATTTAAAGATATCGCCTTCAAAATACTCTCCTCCAGACAATATGCAGTGGTTCCAGTGATCTTGCCATTTTTCGAAAGTCCTATGAAATTGTTCTAAAGTTATAGCTTTGAGTTCTGTTGCCGTATTTGCTTTAATTTCTTCTAGGTTTTGAAATCATTGTCCTTTAAGCGCAGATTTTATTCTCCGGAAAAGAAATAAAAATTGCACGGGGCTAGATCAGGTGAATAGGGAGGGTGTGGGACCACAGGTATTCTTTTTTTCAGCCAAATATTCACGAATTTACAACGCTGAAAGTGCTGGCGCATTGTCGTGATGAAAAAACCATGTTCAACTTCGCCATTTTTCTGGGCGCTTTTCGCGAATTCTCTCTCGAAAACGTATTAATACATCTTTATAGAATACCTGATTGACTGTTTGTCCATGGGGCACAAATTCATAATGAACAATACCTTCAATATCAAAAAAAACAATCAGCATTGTCTTGACATTCGATCTCACTTGGCGAGCTTTTTTTGGTCGAGGGAAAAATTTTGTTTTCCACTGAGATGACTGTAACTTTGTTTCCGGATCGTACCCATAAGCCCATGTCTCGTTCCCTGTGATGATGTTTTTTTATGAAATTTATATCAGCAGATCGATTTTTAAGTTCTTGAGAAATCGTCAAATGATTTTCCTTTTGTTCCGATGTCAACAACCGCGGAACGAATTTAGCAGCTACCCTTCTCATCTGTTAAAATTTCATGACAAGATCCAATTGAAACTCCTGCTTCATTTGCTAACTCGCGAACAGTTAATCTGCGGTCATTTCGCACTTTTTCGTAAATGTTCGCCACAACATCATCGTTTCTAGATGTCGACGGTCTTCCAGAACGTGGATCATCTTTAATTGACTGTCGACCATCCTTGAAACGTTTAAATCACTCGAAAGTAACGGAATGACTTAAAGAATCGTCTCCAAAAGCAGTTTTAATTATTGTGTACGTTTCAGTTGCATTTTTACCAAGTTTCAAGTAAAATTTGATGCACATACGTTGTTCGTTAATTTCGGACATGACGAAAACGGAGAACGAAACAAACCGAATAGATTTAACCACGTATAATATTAAACTGAGATAAGATAGCGACTTCGGGTTTTGTTCAAAATATTCTCTAATACGT